CGATAGTTACCGTTGCCATTGCCCTTGGCTCTGCGGAGAAAAGGTGCGCCAAAAACCCGGAAACTGGTAGCAGAAAAACCATCCGGGTCGCCAGATCACAATACAAGGGATCGCGATGACAGTCTGCCCACATCAACAAAGACCCTCTTGGCGAAGGGTTTTGCGAGTCAAACAGGGCAAGGCGAAGGGATCTCTGGAAGGCTTTGCGAGTCAAAAGGGGCAAGCGTGCTTTCGACCGTTTGGACACAGACCGAAAAATGCGGAAACATGCTTTCGCCGAACTGGCGAAGGGGTTCGGACAAAACATCTGTAGGCTTGTGCATGCACTGAGAATCTTCCCCATGCAGATTATTGGAAGACACCTTTCAGCTTGGAAAGGGGGGGGATGAACCAAGCCCAGGAAGATTCCGGGCGGGGTTCAGGTTCTTGTTCCCTAGCTGGAAAGACGATTTCTTTCAGGGCCTTCAGGGCCTTCATGGGCGTCTCTCGCTTCCCCCGGTCAGCGAACAGTTCGAACACTTGACCGGATATCTGAAAAAACCCACGGGAGAAGGTTAACAGGAATCACTGGAGTTCCCTTCGGAAGTCGCGCAATTGCCTGGCGGTGGCTATTGAAACCCTCGGTTTCTGCTTTGGGGGGGGGGTCAAAAATGGGAAACGGAGGAAACACTAGTTTACTTATTGTTGGGGAGGTGGTCCACTTCCTGCTCAGAGTGATCCCAAGACAATGGAGGAACCTTTAGTTTTTGACGCCCGACACCTTTGTTCAACCTCCTGTTATTTGACCTCCCGCTTCCTTTTTGTCTGAACCCCCCCTCCAGTCTGAAACCCCCCCCGTCATTCAAAAGGAGAGCCCCAAAGCCAGATGCTCCCCTTAGCCCTTCCTTTTCTTGCCAAGTCGCCGCGGGTATGGCCTGAACACCGGCGGCCTGGCCGCGTACCTGGCGTGCGAAAAGTCGACAGTCCGTCTGAGCCTCGCCTCGTGAAGCACCAAAAGCACCGCGGGACAAGTTTTGAAAGTAAACCAGCCACAAGCCAGGGGAATCTACGCGGTGTCCCCTTGTTCCCTGGCAAAATTTGGGATATCCACCTCAGAAGCCAACTCGTAAGATCCCAGCGGCAGAATTAAATTTTGTGCCAGAGGGAAACCAAAGGAAGCTGGCTGTTTGCCAAATGTCCACCCAACAAAACATATATATATATATATATAATATATATATATATATATGCACCCGCTTAAAATAGAATAGTGGAACTTTAGGGTCCCTTCGGAAAGATTGGCAGAATCCACTGGTAAACAAAAAAGGAGCAAACTAAAACCACTGGAATCCATCTATGTTCGTCAAAACTTGAAAGGGAACACCTATGATTCTTGGCCTAAAAGGCCGGTATGATTGAAGATACTCACTTGGCATGCATCAAGCGCGTCGAATTTTCACCTTTGCCGGCGTCCCAAAGGACTTGATGCTGCCTGGGATCCTGTGGTCATGTTCAAGCCTCTCTCATGTCAACACCCAGCTGTTTCACCTCGGTCTTTGCTGGCTTTTCGGAAAGAGCTTAGTGCAGAGTTCGGAGTGGGAAGCCACCGTTTTTTTGTGCACAAACACATCCACCCACCCACCCCCTGTGTCTTTGTTTTGCCGGAGGGAAGTTTGCATGCGGGAAACTAGCTGCCCGCTTTTCTCTGGTTGGATGAAAGCTTTACAAGCATCCAAAGAAAGGCTTCAGCAGGAATCTTCAAGTAAAGAGCCTTCATGGATTCTTCGCTTGTACCTAGCTCGGTCTGATTTGCCCATGTCTTAAAATAAGGTACTCCAACAAGTGCTGGCGTCCCCTTTGGTTTCCGTTAAAGCCACCCCAAAAGGGAACCTCAAAAAAGACAACCCCAAATGCTTGTGGGAAATCACGTGATACCAAAGTGTGGCATTCCCAGGTCACTCCCATCCCCGCATTCCAACGGGACCACATCATTTGGCCGCAGTCAGCCAACAAAATTCAATGCTCCATGTAGGACATTGTCCAGATCACCTTGAACTTTTCAACCCTCCTTGGGTATCACCCTATTTTTTCAGGGAAAGTAAGGAACCTTCAGGAACCCAAGAGAACCCAAGAGAACCCGACATGGGCTCTCCACTCATTTTCCCCTGTTCCCGCCCCTCTAGAAAGGGACTCACAAAAAGAAGACCTAGGCAGAGAAGCCTTGGCGAAGGGTTGCTTCTAATTTGGCGTCGCACACCCCCAAACCTCGACATGGTCCCCTTGTCTTGGGAATCCAGCGAAAAGCAAAGTTGAGCGGGACGCCACAGCTTCTGGTCTTGGCAACCCACGAAGAAATAGTAACTTGATGAATCCCCTCCAGCCCAAAAAAACATGCAACAATTAGCCGTCACAAACATGCCCCCCTCCTCGCAAATTCTACTTTTTGGGGGAAGGGGATCACTCGGGCCAACCAAAGAGCAACGCCACCAAAGCTGGAACCCACCCCACCCGCGGAATGGTGGACACTTGTACAAAGTCTTTGTTGCATGACCACCTGAAACATAAGCTGGGTGCTAAACAAAACGTTGAACAAATCCATCGCCTTTAGGTTTTTAACCAAAAAAAACATGGAATCCTTGGTCCATTGAACAAAGCCATCGCCTTTAGGTTTTTACAGCAAAATTCATGAAATCCTTGGTCATGTCTCGCTACGGCCAGCTGCAACGCTGCAACAGAGCCATTCTGAGTGTCCATGGCAAGCAAGCCCAGGCCCAATGATCCCATAGGCCGCACATGGGCGGCCGGAACGCCGGGTAGACCCTCAGCAAAAAATCCGTGCGGCGAGCGGCCGTTTCTTCTGCGGGTCAGACTTTGGGAGTTGCAGTGCTTTGTTGTTTTTGTTTAGGGGCAAATCGGAGGCGCAGAAACGGACCCCCAAACGGCAACCAACATGGATTCGTGTCTTTTCTCGGTACCCGTAAAAAGGGGTGTCTTCAATGGAGTCCCAAGAAATGGTTGCCAAGTCTTCGAGAACCAAATGGCTAATTCAACTGGGCTCTGAATCGAAGACTTCTCCCAACTGGTTTTGCTTCAGCACCCATCGTCCAAAAACGGTATTTTTGGGGGGTCACTGGCTCCAAATCCTAGAATTGGATTCAGACCCCTTGCGAGGAGCAAGGCGCGATATTCAGTGTTGTGCCCAACTAATCGGCTTTTTTATGTTTTGCTTTGCCCGATGGAAGCCTTCTACACAACAAATGGTGAGGTTGGAAGACCATTTCCTCTAAAAAGCTTCTGGTGGGCTCTCCGTGAAGCGTAAACTTTAAACCACGAAAGCCAGAAAGCTTTGAGCGACATTTTTGGGGGGGCGGTCCCTGCAGGTCCCTTTGGTCCAGCTGGGGTAAAGAAACCCAGAACTGAGTCGAGATGTTTAAAAACAACCCAAAGAGGTGCCAAAAAAAAGGCACAGGTTTCGATTGGTCGTTTTCCGATTTTGGTCTTGGCTTGATGGCCAAGGGAAACAAGGCAAGCTTGAGCAAAGCGCAGCCGAGATTTGCTCATGAGCTGTTCTCGGCTGTTCAGTGACCCCCGGTAGAAAAACGGATGCCCTTATTCGAGTGGACCATTTTTAGTGGGGAACCCACTAAAAAAAAAAATGGACAAAGGGCATCACTGAACAACTGGGTGTTGGTCCAAAGACTTTTCGTCTCATCGGAATAAATCGAACCTATCCGGCACCTAACCAAGGCTCACGGGGCCAAACCCGGCGCATCGGAAGGTCGAAGGCGTGATTTGGCCCAGGGTCAAAGTGTGTTCTAGCAGCCCTGGTATTAGGTAGCGAATGAGGCCTCCACGTCCCGAAATAGACCTACACAAATCGCTGGAAACATGTTGGACCGAGACAGGTGCATCCAACTGGGCAACAAAGGAGAGGGACACCAGCTCGACTACACACACAATTTTGGAACACTGCTAGTATTTCTCTGGTCCATTCTTTTCAAATAAATGGCTTCCTCGGGTTACTGAAGCTTTTCTGGAAAAAGGAACCCTGGAAGTTTGGAGAAGTTGCGCCCACTTGTTTTTTATCCCGGCGTGTCCTCGACCAGCGCTTCCTTCCGCTCCACACAAACAACAAAAAACACCCGCAGGGTACAAATGCTTGTTCAAGTGCGGCTTTGAATCTTCTTAGTACCTGGGTGTTCGGCCAAGTTAGCAAGAGCTGAGCCACCTGGGTTCTAACCCACTAATGCCTGGTTTACCCCCTACTTGAGGAGCGGGTGAACGAAAGCTAGCAGTTGTTGCATGAAAGAGTGGATTCATAGGTAGCTTGTGTACAACGAGAGGCCCGGCAAGATTCGTAGATGCGACACGCAAACGCACATGGTGGCGTGGCAAACCTTGAAAAATGAAAACAACGAGAGGCGTCAGAAGCTGTCTCAAAGCACCTCTGGGTTCTGCATGATGTAAAAGTTCGTAGCACCAAGTCCAAAACGGGCAAACCGAGACTGCTGAACACTGAGCCACTGCCTGGGGGGGGGGGGATGGACCAGGGAGGAATCGAGCCTGAGACCCGGGGGGGGGGGAGGGGGGGGGGGTCTAAATAATTGATGTTTTTCAATCTTTTCGGCTCAAATAATTGAAAAAATCAATCTTTCGGCATTTGAGCCCCTTACCTTGCTTACGCAAGGAGAAACTTCAGCTAGCTAAAGCTAGTGGTTCCTTACCCTTGCTTGTTGGGGTGGGAGAGGGGGAAATGTCATCCTTCTGTCCTACCTCTGTTGCGCAATTGCTTGGATAGAAAAGCACAGGGTGTCGATGCAAGTTGCTAGCATCATTAGCATCATCAACATCACGAGCATAACCAGCATCATCAGCATCACCCAAATCATCAGCATCACCAGCATCACCAGCATCATCAACATCACCAGCATCACCATCCAAAGTTGGCCCAAAAGGAAACGAATACATAACGAGAGCTCCAATAGCTTTCGGCCAAAACGTGTCTGATTTGATCACTTGTACACGTATCTGTGCGCCAAGGTTCAATTTCAAAGACCAAGCCTTGAAAGGAGCCAGTGGCGAAGTGCCGGTCACTTTGCTGTGCCCGGAACAGTGCCGGCCATAGGCTCTTTGACGCTCTTAGCGTCGCAAGGGCGACGTAACTTCAGGGATGGCAGGATCCGCTCTCAAATACAGTAAGCCTGGAAGCTCCTGATCAAGGCCGAGCCTTTTGACCCTTGTCTAGTGCTTTTTAGTTGACGGGGACAAACAATCCATCTCTTGCTCCCCGGAGTTGCCGCTTGTTGTTTTGCTTGTTCTGTCTCCCCACGTGTGTGTAAGATACATTTTTGTATACCCACCCTATACGTCATATTACATGGTGCCTGAGGCGCCCGAACGGCGGCGGCCAGGCGGGCATGGGGTAGACAGGGCCTGAGCGACGGCTCCCATGTCCCCATCCGACTGGAAGAACCAAAATTCGAGGAAGCCAGACTTCGCACCATCGTTAAATGCGTTAAATGGGTGCGGCTCAAAACTCAAGAGCTGGGGTTACGCAGGTTTTGGTCTTTGGTTCCACTTGCCAAGGGGCCATTTGGGTGCATCTTCTTGAGCCACAGCCAAATGTTCGAGCCTTGCAATGGAGCGTTCCGCTTAGAAACTGCATGCAGGAAGCTTGGACGCCCAGAATAAGAGCGGATGGCTTCCAAAAAGACAACCCCCCTTCCACTCAACCGTGGAAGCCAGCGAGTGTCAGCTTGCCAAATTTGGCAAGCACATGGCCATGACCAACGGCTTCTGTTTGGAAATCAATCGCAACTTGGATCTTCAAGGTAAGCAACCTATAGCAGATATAAGCCATTGTTGCAAGGGAACGCCCAGAGGACCCTTTTCACCATGATTTTATCCTGCTAACCTGACGGATTAAGCATCCAAGTCGGTTTCAACCAGCATCCACTGCATCCCGCACCTGAGTATCAAGCAATGGTGTTAAACCAATTACTTCACCACATGTTGGTGGTTTGGATCTCACTCCCATCATCTAGCAGTTCCTCGGGGGCGGGGTCCAACATTCAGCCCCTTGAATGTCGTCCTTTGATTCCTTCAGGGCACGCTGAAACGCAGGTCGTCCTTAGGCTACGCCATGTTTTGGGCTGAAGGACAACCCAAACTGACAGCCCGGGGCGTCCCCGCCGGCGCCATCTTTCGGGGGGGCAGAGCCTCTCGCCACTCTAAGCCGAGGTCCCGCGCCCTGGGGAGGCCTGAGGAAAGAGCTCCAAGCCCCCGAAGGAGGGGCCCGGTTTGCCCGGCTGGCCACGAACATGGCCCTTCCAACCCTGAGGTTTCAACGCCCGGGTGAAACCCCACAAGGCCATTCTCCCAAAAAAAAAGAGTATGGCTAGTGAATGGATGACGAAACCCCATGAAGTCTTGGAGTGACTTTTGCAGCCTCGCTGGCCTTCTTGTCAAGCCAACAGTACCAACTTGAGAGAATTGCACACGGAACAGTCTGTGCTGTGAAAAAAGCGGCCGAGGCCGGGCAACCCGAGGCCGAGACCAAGCCGATAGCTATGCACCAGAAATGGACCGAGCTCTTGCCCGGTGGACCCTGCTGTGCCGCTGAAATGTCCTTCCTACGTATCCTTCCTTCAAGCTTGCGACGAAAGGACTTGACTAACACAAGGAGGGAAAGTCAGCGAACAAAAAACTGGGAGGTCGCCTTGTGGTCAAATCCCCCCAAACGGCAGGCACCATCTTGAAATGGCATGCTGAAACCGCCAGAACTCGAGCCGCTGTTTGACTCGCAAAAGGTAAACGGGCGGAAGATTAAAGCTTTGCTACGGCAACCAAGCCATGTCCATATAACGACCTTCTGCAAACGGGTGATTCTTAGTTGTTCAGACAGTGTGTTTCCCCGTGATTTCCAAATGTGCGGTTTGGATGACAAGCGGATCAACACAGGTTACAAAGGGCAACTGGCTGATTGGAAAACATGCTGGCATTTCTAATGAAACCTCCCCATGACGTTCAGGAACGCCTAGTTGGGTGTTGTTCTCCAAAGCAATCCCCGGAAATTTCATACGGCGGTCGATTGGATGGCGCTTTCGAGCTGAACTGCCGCCTTCCGGGGCTTAACCCAAAGACATGAAAAGGAGGCTGCTAACTTGTTTCCACCAAACACAAAATATTCCCCGGGTACCTTGGGTTTCATCCGCCCAAAACAAATGGCTTCATCCATCCTTCATCCTATTCCCCGAAATTTCTCTCAAAAGCCCCGGAAACGAAGCATCCAGAATCTTAGAAAGCTATACGGAAGAGTCACAACGGCACCTGTCACTATCTGGCCATGGGTCAAACCCCCGTACCCCCAGTGAACATCAACCAATCCAACCACTAAAATAGGTTCTAAAATCGGTGGCGAATTCACCTACCCCAAAATGGGATGCCATTGGTTTTGACCCACAGCCATCTGTCATGATACCCGGTGTCCATCCAACAAACTCACGGAAGCTGACAAGCTCTTAGAACACGCTCATGAATAAGCCTCCTGCCCACATCCACGTAGAGACTTGTTGAGCACGGGCTGTTGCTCGTGTCAATTCCGGATGAATCCACCCCGGCGATTTGTCTTGTCTTTTCCTCTCTTTTTTTTGGGGGGGGAGGGCTAAAAGTGAAGGCTCCCCTCACACACACACACACACACATACACACACCCAATCAACCAGGGACTTGTTTGTTTGTCAGGGCCTTCAGTTGAAAGGCGCCTTGCCCACAATTGGTCAATGTGTCCACACCTTGCCAAATGGCCGTCTTGAGAACCGAATTGGGCACCAATGCTCGTAGGGACCGAGTATGAAACTTTGATTTTTGGAGTCACCAATAGCTTTGAATTACGCAAACGGCAATGCGGGTCTTCCGGCAATCCCCAACAGGCAGCCGATCTTAGGGGACATACCCTGCCACCCACGTTGCCAAACATATCCCCCCCAAAACCCCTATGGTCTTTGGGTCAGGGTTCCACAGGGACCCTGATTCATACTGATGACCAAGATCCGCTTCAACTATAAACCCACCAACGAACAGCACATCCCGTTGTGTTTTTTGAGGGGGGGACTTCCCCCACGCAAAAAAAGGAAGCCCAGGTGGTATCCCCAACAGCCCCGGACCTCTCCCTGAAAGCTAAGCACCCCAAAGCCCATAGCTTTCAGCTGGGGCCAAAAGTGAGGACCAGTTGGCCGCTTCCGAGCTTGCCGCCCGGGCAACAGAGAGGCCGGCGGCCTCGCAGTTGACCCAGGATGAAAAAACCCGTCCCAGTGCAGTAGGGGGGCTGTTCCCTCCAAAAGCGGGCTGAAACCCCACTGAAAGGAATTGGACACCATTACTTTCCTTTTGGGGGGAGCTCCATGTCCACTTCCATTGAAAAGTCCCAAGTGTCTTGACAGACACGTTTAGCCACCCCCAGGGGGGTGACATGCGACATGCAACATGAATCGGCAACATGTCTGACGTACGAAAATGAGTTGAAAACACCTGACTCATTCTGGACCCCCACTGTCAGTTCATTTCTTTCAGGGGCCCCCTGCATATTGAATCTCGGCAACTCACGGTGCTTCCCAACGGAGGAATTTTCCAGAAGGTGATGCCTTTATTTTGGGGCTCCTTTTACCTCCAGAGCTCAAACATGTTGCCGCCCCAGCCGATTTTTTCCAGGAATCATTCACCCAATGGATCCTCAAAAGGATTCACAAACGGACCACCATGGGCGAGGTCGCGAGACTTTGTCGCCACCCGAAAATGCGTCTGGGCAAGCCGTGGCAACCATGCTGTGGAGCAGTTTGGCGAGAGCGTCAAGCATGGGTCGGAAGAAGGCGCCAACGAAGCTGATGATGGGTCGAGCAGTGGTCCAGTTCTTCTTCCTCTTGGAGAGGATTTAGGCAGTCGCTGGCCGTCCGAAGCCGGTCACGGCCCATGGATAGCGACCGCGGAATCTACTAACGATGCTTTCCCGTTGTCGTTGATGGATCTCAATGGAGGGGACTTGCAAGGGAGCAAAGATGGCAGGATCCGTGAATGTGGCGTCCAGCATCTTGCCGTACACTGCGGGGCAATAGAGCATGAGTCGGGAGTCCGCATGATCTTCGCAATGGCGGACAAGGCTCCAGGGTTGTTAGAGCCTGTTGAACATGAGCATGTAGAAAGTACCGTTGTGTGTGAGGAAGGTGGAGGTCGAAATGGAAATCGACAATAGTGGAAAGGGTTGATGGATCAAGCGAGGGCAGGTTGTTGGTCCTGGCCCAGTGGTGAAACGCCTGAGTCAGACGATTCATCAAGACCCCGCGTGGCGGAAAGAAGGAGTTACGTATCGAACCAGAAAGCATGCTGACTATGTCGGAGTCGAACAACTCATGAGTGTCGGAGCCAGAAAAAAGAAGGTGTCCCTCATGCTTCGGGAGGGATGGGTGTCGCTTGGCGAGGTCGGTACATGTGCAGGACAGCTCGCCGAGACTCCAGGTTTGAGCTGCCTGGAGGTGTGAGAACAAGGCACTGGATAGTTTCCGGTGTGCCTTGAAAACGATGCGTGGTTGCGCCACATGAAACGGTAGAGCACTGCGGGTGGTGGATCTGACAAACCCGCGGAGCTGGGTCAAAAGCAAAGTCCGAAAGGAGGAATGTGCGAAGAAGGGCGCGAGCATCGGTCTGGAGGGGCCGGGTGGAATTAGGCCCCGGAAGCGCAGGCTAGATCGAATGGCAGAGATGCATGCCTGGTGGTGTGGCTCAGGTAAGTATGTAGCGATGCGATGAAGGATGTATAGGGCAGCGTGTGGGAAGTCTCTGCTCCGTATGTAACGGATGGCATCGAATCGTCGTAGGGTGTTGCTGCCAAGATCGCCCAAAAGGCGCCACAAGTCCAGGCGGTTGCTCATGCGCTTGGCCAGGAAAGCTTGTTGCAGAGCGATTGGTAGTCGTAGTCTGTGACGCTTTCGCCAAATGGTGGCAAAGCCCATGTGCCGGGATTGAGAAAAGTCCAATTGTCGTATGAAGCCCGTGCGTGGCCGAAAATGTCTCTCGATGAAGCCAAAATTGAGAGACGGTTGCAGTTCCTGAATGTAGAACTGCTCAGTGGCGAAGAGGTCTGTTGCTGGGACGGCAATGTGGATGGGCACTCCAGTGTACCAGTGGAAAACATCGAAATTCGCCCACCATCGAACGGCCAGCTCGGCGTTGACCAAATGGTGTCGTTGAACCTGAAGTAGTTTGCGGAATCGGCTGTGATCCCGAGCCATGAGAGAGGTGCGAGTTGCACCGACATAAAAAAAGGTTTGCCATTTGGGATGGCTGGTGAATCTCAGATAAACCGCGGAAGGGACAAGCTGAGATGAGAAATCAGAAGCGGGGGAATCCAGGCCGAGTCGGGCAAGCAGGGCTTTCAGTCGGCCAGAGCCACACGAGAGATGGCAAACGTCAAGTAGCTGAAGCTGTGCGAGTAGCCAGGAACAAAAGTGACGTGCGGTGACGTCGTCGGTTGGGAAGAACTGGAGAGTGAAACGGAGGACAGCGAGAAATTGGCGGCAGTGGTGTTGCCAAAAATTGTGTTGCTTGGCTGTGCGTCGTTGTCGGTGTGCTGTTGAGAGTCACTGGTAGAAGTGGCTTGCAGCGGCCAGGATGCGGCCCAGGGCCGATGACCCTAGTTTGGATAGGGTTCGCACTGGTACGCCCCAGAGCACGGCGGCTCGTTCCAGTTGGGCTCTGGTGTCGGAGTCCAGTGTGGTCGCCCATTTGGCGCAGTCGTTGGACCAGCATTTTAGGGTCTGCTTGCTTTCTTTGCTGATCTTCTGGGAAGTGATTCATCGCTGGACTTTGGTGTCGGATATGTCGGGTGGGAAGTTGCTGGTGAGCCATTGGCAAACGTGGGGAGGGGGTTGGAGCAGGTCGCAAGGCTCCTTCCAGGTGGGCGGAGAGGGGAGGGGAGAAGCCGCCGGGGTGCCGCCGTGGGTGGGGGGGGCCGGGGGGGGTGTGCCGCCGTGGGTAGTGGGGTGTCAGACGTGGTCAACCGTGGCCGCTTCATGCCGAAGTCCAGAAGGGAGGCCTGAGGGGTCAACCGGGCGCTTGCTGGAAGATGCGGGTGTAGGGGGGTGAAGGGGATGGTGCTTGCTGTGCGAGTTGGCTGTGTGCGACGGCAAGCTGTTGCTGGAGCTGGAGGATGGTGGCAGCTGAAGCTGGGTCAGTCGTAGTGGTGGGTCGTAGGGAGATGAGGAAGTCGAAGATCTTGCTGGTTAGTAGCTTCATGGCTGCTGGTTTGGTGGTCGAGGTGCCCTCCTGTGTAGCGACGTGAAGAGCGAGGGCATCCAAGTCAAGATGTCGTTGTCGGATTTGGCTGAGTAGCCCTGCGGCGAAGACTGACTCCGGCATCGACTTTTGCGACAACGATGCGTGCCTCACCTCCATGGGCGAGGTGGCGCAACCACCAGCTGTTCCACTGTTCGTGCAGGAAGTTGAGGAGGGAAACTCGAGCGATGTCTTGTCCCTCAATGCCCAATTGCCGGGTGAACGCGGTATGCGTTATGACCTTGGGCAGGTCGTACCCTGCGACGCGGGTGGTGTCGTAGTGATCGTCGTCGGGGTTGAACTCTGCTGGAGTTGGGACTGAGTGGAGGGGGCGAAGAGCATGGAGGGAGGGGAGAAAAGGGGGCCGCGGGTGAAGGGGCCGGGGGGAGGAGGGGGAAAATGGGCGCCGCAGGGAGGAGGGGGGGGAAAGCCGGTGAAAGGGGGACGGGGGCCGGGTGAAGGTTGCTGTGGATAGTTTTGCCTTTGGAGCATCGGTAACAAGCCTCGAGGGGGTTGGAAAGCCATGAGAAAACACAAGGGAAAGGGGCCAAGTTCGAACCAAAGGCTGGCAATCGGCAACCAAAAAGGAAGGGTCGTATGGCGAACGATCGGTCACAGAAAAGGCAACAAAGCGAACAAACCGTACATCAGTTCTTTTCCTGGTCAAATGGAATATGGTACGGTTTGCGCCCCGCTACGCCGGGCGCTGCAGCGCGACACCTCTCAGCATGGCATACTTGGAGTGAAGGCACCACTTCTTGCCTCTGCGGCATGCAAAGTGGCGCCGCACGTTGTGCTGGTCCTCGTGGCTTCCCGGACTCCAAGATCTTGTGCTGATTGACAGTGCGCAGTTCCCCAAAAGCGATGGCCCCAAGCTGAGACTTTCTGATGGTGAAGTTCTGCAAAAGCTGGCCTAACGTGTCGGGATTGCAGGCTGTGGGAGTGGCCTGAGCATAGCATCCAAAGCTCGGGTAGTCATGGTTCTCAGGCCTCCATGCAGCAGGCCGGATCATGTTCTCATAGGACATGCGGCGCATTCGATCCGGGGTGGTGCCGTGATACATGACCTGTGCCGGGCGCCCACCAGCGACCGGCCAGGAGTGTGGTCGGGGAAACCAAGTGGTTGCGAACACCATGCCATGTGATTCCCGTCCCAGGAGATGGTAGAAGCTGGGGTCGAACGCTATGGGCTCATCCATGTCCATGGTTCGCAGTTCCCAGCATTCTGCGAGGATGTCGGCATGTGAAGGTGGCAAGGCAGGGTCCAGGGTCTGTTCCATTCTGGAGATGTCCAAGGCTGGAAGCGGGTCCAACTCCCCCAACTCCCTAGGCGTGGGAACTCGCATTGGGTCAGTCTTGGCTGTGTCCATGACGCTTCGCCATAGATCAAGCCACCGGTTGTCGGAGTTTGTGTTGAGCTCTGCCTCCGACGAAGGGGGATTCAGGTCTTCAGTGTCATCCAAGGGGTGCTGTTGGGGAGGTGCAGGGCGGGGAGGGGGGGTTGGGAAAGCCGCCGCGGGTGCAGGGTAGGGGGCATGCTGGCGTTGTTGCGGCCAGCACGGGATGGGGGGTGCGGTTGTTGCCCAGGTTGCTGCCGTGGCCAGGACTGTCGCTTGTCCTGACTGCTCCAGTTGCCTGTGTGCTGGTGCTGTGGTGGTGCTTGCCCCAGCGGCTTGTACTGTGGCTCTGCGGTGGGTGTCCCCACCAGCGTGGAGAGGACCTTTGAGACTTGTCGGTGTCCCATCCGGAAGTGCGCCAGGAAGTGGAACTTTGGGAGGTGTGGGTTTGCGAGGCTCGATGTGGAGCCGTGGTCCTGGGTGCGGGGGAGTGTCGTGGGGAGGACCTGCGCCGGGGGGAGCGTGAGCGGAGGGAGATGGGGTTGCGGCGCGATCGCCTGGAGTGGTGGTGGGGCCGTGAGGGGGAATGTGACCGGCTGGAGCTGCGTGCTCGCCGGGTGGGGTGTCGCCGTGGCGACTTGTCGTGTCCACGGTGATGACTAGTGTGGGAGTGTGAGTGCGGTGTCGTCTGTGACGGGAACGGGATCTGCGGGAGTGGGAGTGGGGACGAGTGCCCGTGGGATGTGGGTTGGTCGAGGGAGCGGCGGCAGGAGTCGTAGCAGCTGCATCGGCTGCGCGTGTCGGCTGAGGCTCGGGCAATGAAGATGGCATGCTGTTCTGAGCCATGAAGGGCATCAGGGCGCCGGATGTCGCGTTGCCAAAGTTAGGAAGGCCACCGTAGGGCATCACGGACATCGGGTTGCCAAAGTTCGGGAGGCCACCATAGGGCATCATGGAAAACGGTGCAAAGGGCGTGGTCTGTGGGTTGGGTGAAGGTACGAGATCATCTGGGGTGACAACTGCAGGTTCGGTCCACCGCTGCCTGGTGAGCCGGACACGGTGCCGGTCGCAATGCTTTGCAGGAGCGAATGCATCATGTCATAGAGCTGGTGTCCAGCCATCTCGCAAGGGAGAGAGAGGGTTGGAAAGAGAGGGGTGGAAACAATAAAAGACAACTGCGGCATGGGCGGGCACGATGCAGCAACTGATTCACACATGACCTGTGCCTCAAAAAGCTGCCTTGTCGGTCCAACTCATGTCAATCCAGGTGTCGTTCGAACGTGAAAGTGAATTGAACTGATCTGAGTCAGCGCAGAGCGTGAATCAATGAACAGCAAAGCCGGTGTCTGACCGGCTTGTCACTCGCGCATGAAGCTGCCGGAGCCTGCTACCTCATGAGAGCTGCCTTGTTCAAAACGCAGGCAGTGCAATGCGAATGAAGCTGCCGGAGCCTGATACCTCATGAGAGCTGCCTTGTTCAAAATGCAGGCAGTACAATGCGGCAGCGAACTGAACTTGAACTTTTGAACGTCATCCCCTCGCAGGGGGCTCCCGCATATGGCGAGTCCAGCCCACAGCGCCATGTCGGACAGGCCGTGGGTAAACACACTTATCTCGAGAGGCTTCACTAGCCGAGATGAAAACCGCAGTCAGTAAAAATGCTTGAATGCAAATGCAGAGCAGCAGGTCACAACATCGACACCGAACAGGAAGCAACAGCAACAAACAGAAACCGCAAAAGGAATCAGGAAAGAGGGTCAAAAAGGGGCCAAAAGGACTTTCAGAATCACTCAAAAGGTGCAGGTACACAAGGCTGATCAGGCCTTGCTTCCCACTCTCACCCACAGCTTCATTGCGTGTGGTAGGATGAGAGTGCCACACGCCCCTGCTGCTTAAAGTTTTGCGTCCGTGCTCCAGGACGGTTCACACACACACACACACACCTGATGAACAAATAGTTTCCGACGTCTGTCACGAGTTCGTAGTTGGTTTACCCCCATTCGAGCTCGCCATATGGCACTCCAATTGGAGTGAATGCTCTCCAGATTGCAAGGGAAACAAAGAAATGGGTGTCTGTTTGCTAGGGGACTCCCCACATGTGTGGGTTCTCCTGGTGGTTTCCCTTCAAAACCACCAACTCAAAAAAGGATAGACCCAAGTTCCTTAGCAGTGGCTGGTTCACTTGCCTCTTTGGATATGGGCCAAACTTGCAAAGTCCAGCTCCGTCCATGTCCGAGGGAGAAAAAAGACCAACAAAATGAGGGCAAGCCTTCCCTGAGCGTCCTATGCCAGATGTGAAGCTCCGGCAGAAAATATATTTGAAAAAAAAATGGGAGTCGAAGAAAGGGCCTCATGATTCGAAACTCTGGGTAAACGAAAAAAGCCTTGTGTTTAGTACCTGGAAACCAAAACCCGTGGCACCCTTGAAAAGACAACAGAATAAAAGGCTCCTCACTACACCCCATTTGCCTTCCCCAGAGCTTTCTTCGAAAACTGGACCAACAGGGGTTCCCATCTTGTTTGTACCCTGGCGATGTGTTTTGCCAAATGGGTACAGAAAAAATGACAACTTGCATATGAAATAGTCCTGAAATGCTAGTTTGGGTTGATGGCTTGATTCTAAGCCCCTGGTTCATTTTCTGGCGGTAATTGGATGGGCGATCCTTGCTCAGCAGGCCAACCAAAGGGAAAACCAGCAGTTTTGGGGCACCTCTTTGTACACATAACCTTCAAACCACCCACCCAAACCACCCATTAAGGGCATCCATCAGCCTACCGGTCCTTCGCGCGCCCGTCGCGTGCTCCACCCGCCTGCAGAGAAAAGACATTTGTGTGCCAACAAAAGAATGGAGCCTCCAAAGTGGTTGACCACACCTGGGGTCAAGGCTGTTGGTGGTTGACAGGGAAATCGTCCCAAGAGGATTGAGCTTTTCCACATACCCTACACGGAGATGTGGAATTCAACAACCCTGACCCTCTGAACATGGCTTGGTACATAGACACCTCTTCCAAAAGGAATGAGTCCACCGAAACCGGCGGAGTGCCGCAACTTTCCGATCGTGGACCCGTGGCACCGAAAGGAACCCCCATCAAGCTCAAAAAACGGCGGCCACCCAGCTGAAGCATTCGGGAATGTCGCACCTGGCTGTCTTCCTTTTGAGGGAACCCGTTTTGGCCGGTTCTTGTTTCTTGATGCTTTTTTTGCGGGAAGCCAAGAAGGAAAGCAAGCTTTTGGGTGGGTCTCCTTCACTCACCTGAAGGTTCTGACCGTGACCTTCGACCCAAAAGGTGGTTTAAATCCTTTGAACAGCTTCCCTCAAAACGCGTGGTTTTGAGCCGATCCAGTGGTTTGGTGTTGTGAGCCATTTGAGTTCTATGAACTTTAGCGGGACCTTTGAAGAAACATGGAAGCTAGCTGGTTCCTGAACCATTTTCTAGAACCCTCACGGTTCAAGGCTCTGTCCTGAAACCAACCATTTCGAGTGGATTCCAGCTCAAATTCCCTAACCACCCCATGTCCGCATGCTCCCCAATTCCCCCCAATCATAGGTGGGGGAAAATTATTTTGTTCAAACAGAGGGCTCTGGTGCATAGAGAAAAACAAAAAAAACACTCTAAACCAGTGGAACCCATCTATGTCCAACCAAGCCATCCTGAAAAGGACACCTATGCCCCTCATGTCTGGCATCTTCGGGCACTGTGGGAAATGGAATCCACGAATCTGTGATACAACACAAAGGGCCTAACCCCCAAGACGCTCAACCCCCCCCCCCCCAATATCAAGGGGGAATATTCCAACTTGTATCACTTGAAGTGGCCATGGCTCAAAGCTAAAATAGATTCTAAACTGGGTGGTGAATTCACCTACCCCAAAATGGGATCCCAAAAAGGTTTTAACCCACAGCATGGTTGGATAAACCCCGAGTGCTCCCACAACCCCCGTGCTCGAGGGAACCCTGCGGCTTCGGCCCAAGCGCCTGGGTGCCGGCGCTTGCTCTCTCCGAGGGGCCTGGCAAGTCGTGATTGTTTTTCTCGACGGGTTCCACAAGGGGCGCAACAACTGATGTTGATCTTTCATATGTTTAGGGGCTTGTTCTATTTTATGTTTTTTTTAAAAAAAAATGGACCACCCCCTTCTAGTTAAAGCCCTATGTTAAAATGCTCTGGGCAGAGCATCGTCGAGAACAACTGGGCACTGGTGGCCATTTTGGCAAGGAAGGGTGCGGAACTGCGGTGCAAAGTGCAACTATGGGGCACAGGGCGCGCAGGGGTACCAAAAAAGATTGGTGGCGTGTTCTCTCCCAAACTGATTGTGCCTTCCTTTGCTTTCTTTTGGTACGGGGACGGTACCTGGGTACTAATGCAGATTCTTGGTATGCATCCTGCCCCAACCTGTACCTGTACCTTTCAGCCGGTACCAAGAACCTGTAGCCCGTCCTCCACCAAACAAAAACAAGCAATATGGGCCATGTATCTGAACATTGAGGTCCCACCAGAACCCTCGCAAAGTTTTAAAGCAGGACTCTTAAGCTCAGATAATTTTGGATAACCCAGGACACCCGACCTTCCCTGACTGATTCGAAATCATCTGAGCAAGGTCCTCACAAGGGAAACCAACAGAGCCGACTCACTCGAGGTATCATCCTTGAGCCAGGATTACAAGCGCAACCCACAGTGACTGAATTAGATTCTAAGCATGGGTATAGGTCAACTAGCACAATCAAAACCCGGTATTAAAATGGTCTACCCAGAACCGCGTAAGGAGAGAAGAAGGCGGATATCCGCAGCAATTTCTGGCAAGGGGATTGTCCCTTAAGCTTCATCTACTCACATCGATCCGTTGATCCCCTAAAACTTGGCTGAACATGCCCAGCACCCGCGCCTTCTCAGGCTCCGCCTCGCTGTCGCTGGACCCGGACCCGTCTTGCGCCCGCGGCCCCTCTTGCGCAGCCGCGTCCGCCTGCGCCGCGGGCGGCGCGCCTTGCGCGTCACTGGGCTGCTCGGGCGGCTCGCCTCAGGGGTGCAAGGGTCGTCGGATGTGGAAGCCACAGGTGAGTAGCTTGAGGAAGGCCCCTATGACTCAGGGCGCTGAACCCGAAAGCGCCAACTTTATGCAAAGCTGACATTTCCGCCGCTGCTGTAGTAGAGAGGTTAGAATAAGTTGGCACCCGATTGTTTTTCTGTAGTCTATTATCTATTTTAGTAAGGGAACCCTCCCCCAAAAATGAAACATTAACAGGGCAATACTGGGGTACCTAGCTTTTGCGGCGACCGAATTCCAATGCTGAGCAATGCCATCCCCTTCTTTTGCAGTCTTGGAGGCATGAGGCTTCCGTGTTTCGGAATCCGTGATACTGTGGATGGACAAAATCCTGCACCACCTAAGAAACCATGGAATGATGATTCCCCTGTAAATACCAACAAACAATGGTCTCCCATGATTTCCAAGTGGTGCAGGATTTTGTCCATCCACAGTACAGTAGTCATTCCCATGAATACTTCACAAAGCAAAGGAGAGCTGCCCTGTGGATGGTGGCGAAATTTATCTCTCGCACTGTGACACCATGGCTGAATCCATAGCGGAAAAACGAAACATGGGGGGTTCTTAGAACTAAACGCATTTGGTTTATCAACTTTAAGCCACCAGACCGCAGGCTGCAGTCCTTCAGCTCGCTCGTTTTGGTACCTTTTGACCCACCAACTGCCCTATTGTTCATATCCAAAGCAAGACATCTAGCAGTCATGGGATTCGCAACCTCTCACGGAGGAAAAGTGGCGGCCGGCAAATCCAATGATGCTCATGGCTATCAGGAGGAGGCCCACCTAAGCCATTGCAGTAAAAACACAGATGAGAGTGTGAGTGGATTGGCTTATTCAACAAGTCCGCATTCTTTGTGCGCTGAACTGGTCTTCCCAAGCGGAGCGGAAGCCGTACCCTGGATTATTGCTCTGCCATCAGCTTCCAAAAAGGGCTACCCCAACCCCCGAAAACGAAAACCACCGGCCCCTCCCGAGAAAACGAAAATACTGGATATTCACAACACTCCAGGAGGATTTTGCCCATTGGCCCGCACTCCCTGTTCCCCCCCTTTCGCCCGGAGCAAGTCCCCCCGCGTCGCCGGCGCTTGCGAGTCCCTTTGCCTCGAGCCAACTGGGGCTGGCGTTCCAGGACTCGATTCTCGCGCCGGTTTGAGGCCAGAAACAAGGCGGGTTAAGCGCCCTGGTATGTTTGTTGGGTCACAACCCCTTTTTGGAAAAGGTGTCAAATAAGGGGACCCCCTTCAATGGGTGAAGTCTTTTGGGTGTCCCTTTGCGCAACCACAAAAGAGAATGTTCGACCCAAATCCATGTAAGGAAAATAAAAGGCGTTTCTGGCTGGGACTGCCCCTTACTATCCTTCATCTACCCGGGCTTTTATGTTGGCTCTCAAAAGAGGGTACTTGGGTGTTTGGCCAAGTTTGTAAGTTGCTAGCCACCTGGGTTATAACCCCCCCATTCTGAGTGGGCTATAACTTAGGGTACCGACAACTCACTAACTTGGTGAATCGAACACCCACTCAGATCATCTGCGTGGTCATGGGAAAGAAAGGCCATCCCTTTTTGGTTGCTTGAGTTTAAAGGAATTGGAACCCTTCTCCAAAACAAAAAAAAAGCAAAAGGACAAAAAAATGGAGAAAAAAAAAGGAGAGGAAACAGAAAAGGAGAAAAAAAAGAGAAAACAAAAAAAAGAAACAAAAAAAGAACAGGAAAAAAAGAAACCAAAAAGAAGAAGAAACCCCGGCAACCCCAGGGCTAACTGGGCAACAGGTCTCCAAACGCCCCGCTTCCCCCCCACCCCCCCGCCGGTGCCGGTCTTGGACTCCTCCACCAGGTCCTGCGAAGTCGAAGCCGAGAAGCGGGCGCCCCAACTTGTGGACCGGAAAAGTGGTGGGGCCCGCGGTTGGCAAAGAAAAAACATGCAAATTATATATATATATGTATATATATATATATGTAATATATATATATATGTATATAATATATATATATATATTACATATAGGGGGAAAAAAAGAAGAAACAACTGCTCGAAGTCGAAAAATACCAACAGATGCAGATCCCCAAGTCCCCAGCCTGAGCCACCTCGGCCCGTGTCTTTGGAGCGCTCGAGTTTGTCTCTTTGCGGACAGAAGCCGCTGGAAAGCCACCGGTCGGTACGCGAGCAGCCGGGGTTCGCTGACGGACTGGTGTGCGCAAGTTCCAGCCGGTGCGCGAACGTCTGGGTTCCGGTGGCCGGCGCCCGCTTTGCCTCGGGTTGCTGGTTTAGCTACAAAGTAGAGCTGGGCTATTTCCCAGGTCGTTGGACGGTGAAGTGACCCACCAACTTCTGCTCGAGACCAGTGAGGGAGCAGGATATGGGTATGAGTCAAAATGAAACTACCAGGGGACCGCAGGTTTCACTCCATGTTTCCATTTACCAGGGTTCCATTTTGGGTACCTATTTTTGACCCACAGCCATATGACGCTTGCTTGTGAGAGCTTGTGCGGCTGCTAGACATCTCCAAGTCACTGCCATTTCACTAATTCTTGCCTGCGTGTCACGTGTTCTTTGAGGTACCGAATCTACACGCCGTCGCGCGGGCCTCGCGACTACGTGTTTTGGAGAAGACTCGGATCATTCACATGGTACCCCCCAGTATGCGTAGAGTGACCAAGAGACTCAAGCGGTGTCGATGCCATGCCCGATCCCACAGCCAGCGACAAGCGCTCTGCTCCAGCCGAAATAGTGCAACATTGTTTTGCTGGGTGATCCACACACCCCCTTCTGAAGCGCTTCCCCAGCAAACCTTGAGCTCGCTTGGCGATTTAGAATAGGACGAATGCGTGCGATTTGCGGGGCGCGTCACCTGGCATGCAGAAATTTAAGGAGCGCTTCCCCATGGTCTACACTCAAAATTTGCGCTTGTCTCTGCCCGTTTTTGAGCGCGCTCTGCCTTGAGTCCGGATGTGTAAGCGACTTGCGTGCTTATTCGGACTGCCCTTACACGGCCACATCCCCACAATGGGGATATTGGCCCGAGATGGGCTTCGGTTTCCCTTTTGGTTTCCCTTTAACACCAAGCCAGAAAGGGGCACCGAGCCTCAAAACAAGACGAGCCAAAGGGCGCTGATCTGGAAGCATCCTCTTCTTGTCCCTGGAAATCCAGCTCGACATGGGCGTCCTGTTCTTGAAGCCGGCGAACCACTTTTTTGCGGTTCAAGGGAATCCAAAAGCAAACGAACCAGCTTAGGTGTCCCCCAAATAAACAAACACCACCTATTTCCCCAAACAAAAGGAAACTCGCTAGTGAAACCCATGAAGGAAGAGGAGAACCCCCCCCAAACTGCGGGACCTCGGTCGCGCCTCTAGGCTCAAATCCAGCTTTCTCTGGACGTCCTTCATCCGGGACCTAAGGTCACTTTGCGGGCTCAACATGCATGTTCTTGGCATGGCATGCATGGAGGCGTACATATTTTGATATGTTGTGGTTTCTACTGCTTGGTTTGTGTAGCAGTATACTGCACCTCGTTCGCACATGCCCATGGCTGTGTCTCGCATGAAAAAAAAGCTGGCGTTCTGTTGGCATCCCTTTTGGCCAAACAGGAGGAGGGTGTCGTGCCGGGGGGCTTTTGAAGGGAAGCCAAAATGAAATCAACGCGGTGCACGAGACAGCCCTTTGGGTGGATTCCCAGGTCTTCTCATGGGGGAAAACCGGATTCCTGTGTTGCTGTTTGAGAAAAATCAAAGAGGCCCACCCCCTCCAAAAAAAAAAAGGGGGGGAAAAAAAAACTCTAAATAAGAATGAACATATATAAAGAGCGCCGTTTTGGGGCACTGGATTTTGCCTGAGAAAAGTTGCGGCAGCCTCCCGGTGGACCCAAAGGCTCGTGCCCGGTTGAACCGGTCTTTGCCGGTACGCGTCGCGTCTGAGTCTCGAGCCCCATGGCCCTCAGATCGAGGGGGTCGGGAGGTTGGGGTGGGGGGAGGGAGGTTGGGGGAGGTTGGGGGGGGGAGAGGGGGGGGCATTTCAAACAAAGCAAGAGCCACGTCTTGTTTCTCGTTCTTTCGTTGGGGCGAGGGGAGAGGCTCGGGGGGGGCGGAAGCCTCATGAGGTTCCGGTTTCTCGACGGAATAAAAGATTGGCTCCCCGGCTCTTTCGTGTCAGCTATGCTGCCTCTTGGCTTCGGAGAATCTAGGCCAATGTCCTGTTGTTGTTGTTGTTTTTTTTAGAAGAGCCTTCTTTTTTCAAGGCTCTTCCCAAAGTCCAACAGGACCTTGCCCTAGATTCTCCGAAGCCATGAGGTAAAAATCCTGTAGACCATACACGATTGAAGCTTGCGGGGTGTATCTTTAAAAGGAAACTTAGTAGGAAAAACTCTCGTGGACACGCCGTAGGTTTCGCACGTGCCTGCCGGACCCCTTTTGGGCTTTCTGGATTGGTCCGCAGCTTTTACTCTCTGCAACTCAGAGCTTCATGTACGGAAAGGGCAAAAAGTCACCGCTTCCAATCAGAAGGCAGTGACAGAGCTCCCAATTCGTCTCCGGAGTCCGGCTAACGCTTGGCCGGGCCCTGCGGCCTCGACAAGCTGCCGAAAGCCTTCTTCGAGCGAGCGAGTTTGTGCCAGATCTAACTGACTTCAGCAACGCCTGAAACCCCCTCTCCGAGCGAGAATGTTTGAACCACCTGTGAAAGGGAAGCAAAGCTGGACCCCTTTTCACAGGTAGTCAAACGGCCGACCAAAGGTGGTCACGACTGCAAAAACAAAAACAAAAAACAATCTGCCAAGGACTCTATGTCTAGTATCCAGGTGGCGTTTGCCAGGCTGGGTGTATTGTTCAGACACAAAGTCTGCTTCAGTTTCTGGTAGCAGGAACAAGAAGACCCTGAGAACGGTCGCCCAAGTCTTTGGCAAAAAAACTGCAGACATTGATGCACATGGAAGTCAAGAAAACGTGAGAGGAACGGTTGATGCCCCAAATATTGCAAGGGAACAGAAAAACCCGGTTTGTGGTTGGTTTGTGGTTGGCATCTACCGGATCTCGAGCTTCAACAGTTACAAAAAAGGAGATTCATGGGCTTTCGCTCATTTGCTTTCTTGGGACCTAGCCGCGCGAGTTGTTTCACAGGGGCCCGATGCCACCTTCGGGGCTGTTCCAGGCTGCTCTCCAGGACCCTCTCAACATCGGCCATCATAGACTCATTGAGGAGATGTTGAATGGCCAACACTTCGCGGGAGACACACTGGGCGACCACTTTAAACTCCGAACCAACCTGAAAAAGGTCTCAACCATAGGTGGCCTTTTGGACAAATAGATGGTTTGATTCCCCGGTAAATGGATGGCATAAAACCTTTCTAGCTCCATCTATTTCATTGCCCAAGCTAACCGACCAAGACCGATGGTCTCAACACCACCCCCACCGTTCGGATTAACCCGCCACTCCCTTCTCCAGTTAGGCGCCACGCCACTTTCTGCCATGAGCCAAAGCTGCGTGCGGAGCACGAGCCAAGTGGGCGCGGGAAGTCCGGCGGCGGAGTTCTCGACGCTCAGGTGTCCAAGGTCAGAGAGATGTCGGGGTTGATCGAATTTCCCGACAAGGCACCGGGCCATGGGAAGTATCATAACTAATGGTCATCCTGTGTAAAGGACCTTTGGATAAGCCCCCATTGAGCAAAGGCACAGTTCTCAAAGAGCTCAGACGATTCCTGCAGCAATCGCCAGGGAAGGAGCTGGAATGACCCAAATCTACCTGAACCGTCTCTCATGGTCTATGGTTTGCTTTAAAGGAAACCTTAAGGGACCTCGATGCAAAAAGGCCGAATCGGTCGCCAGAATTCGCGGTGCTGCATGGCAAGTGCTTAGACACCCGAGTTGTAAGTATTGGAAGGGGGCCTGGGGGTTGCTGCTGGCTCATTCCACCATGGATTGATCCCCCACTGAGTGAACCTGAAACCCCCCAAAGGACAAGGATTGGGCGCCCTGAACCGGACTCTCACATCATGGTGCCCTTACAGGTCTTCTTGCCGGAGCGAGTCAACACCTTGAGACTAGTCCAATCAAATCAAAACGGCAAGTTTGAAGCCCGAAGGATAGGCAATGTGCAAGGAAAAAAGAGAGAAATTGAGATGCTCAAACCCCCGTTTGGTGGCTGGATCCATTCGCATTTTGGGGCTGATCTTGATCTTGCTGGTTCTCAGCGGAGAATGAGTTGGAATGAACCCTGTAAACCATCCCCTATGGTTTCCTCTAAGGTAATCCCAAAATGGTTCATTCCCCCAACTTTTATACTGAGTACAAGCAAGCGATGAACCCCGCAATTCTCGTTGACATTCCTTTGCATGCCTAGTTCTCTCAATGGCAAGTCCAGATTGATGAGCGACGACTAAATGCTTGCTTCGCCCTGCAGTTCATTTGCCTCCATTGAAACAACCGTTAGATTCGAATTTCACCACCATTGTTTTTTACTGTTCAGGATTGTCATCATCCAAATTGGGACCTCGCCATTCTTTCAATGGGGAATCGCCAGAGAACAGGCAGCAGAATTCGGCGACCGGGCATCTTCAATCCGATTGGACCTTCCGCGCGCACTCGTTCTATTTCGGATCGAGAATGATGCAATGGTAGCTCGAGGATCCACTGTTTGTGGCAATCGTCCGCTGTTCGCCAACCCTCTGGCCTTGTTCGAAGCACGTTTCTGGGCGGCTCATACGTTTTGCTCAAAGTACCATTTTCCAGACCCAGGCTGAATTCACACTCTACGGACGCTACTTGTTGTTGCTCTGCTGATCCTCCTTCGACGGCGGCATTTGCCGGCGTAGCCTGGCGGTTGGGAAAGCCACGCCGGTGCTAAAGAGGGAGGCGGAAGGCCACCGAAAGAAAAGGACTGGTTTTGGTTGCGCCCCATGCCAAAAGGACACCGGAAACCGGAGGCCTCAGCACCCGAAAGAGCCCACAGCTCGGGGATCCTTTTTCACCAGTGAAGGCTGGGCCGAGCTTCCGCAACTTCAGAGCGTACCGAGCGGTTGGCACCAATGCACTACTCATAGGACCCCAATGGCCGGGATGAGTGTCTGGACCTCAGACAAGGGCCATTTTCATGGAGCCCTGAGATGCTTACCGGATGTGTTCCCAGCAGCGGCGTGTCGCAACCACGCCTCAGCTCCAAAAAGCGTCTTTGGAGAAAGCACGCGGATTTCACCACTTTGGCGCTCCCACTGCACCGCCCGAGCGCCGAATCACTTCACAGCCCTTTTCTCTCCAAGGGCGTTGAGGGACAGGGACTCTGAAAGAGAGGCAGGACTGCTCGGATTGCTCCCTGCCTGACACACAAGCACACATCCTCGCCACCAATCAGGCAGTCAGAGCAGTCAGGCGGCTGGCAGGTGGCGGGCCGGTCAGGTGGTCAGGCAGTCAGGCAGTCAGGCAGTCAGGCAAACACCCTGCTCGCTCTCCACGCAAGGTCAGTTCTGGCTTGGCAGCGTGTCTACCTCAGGCTGGCGAGTTGGCTGAAAACCATGTCAACCCGGAGACAGCTCGGCTCGGCCCAAATAAGGCTCGGCAGAACCAAACCCAAAAGCATGACGAGGGGCCGAACCCTGACAGCACTTCGCAACATCCCTTGCCCTTTGATCAAATGATCAATGGAGGTATGTCCGGGTATGGGTTTTTCGGAGGTATAGATGCTTGTAGTACCAATAGCAAAAGCTTGCAACGCAGCAGAATGCTGCTTTGATTTCTCCAATGTGGGATTGACTTGCCACTTCTGTGATGCCATTGGAAAATTGATCCTCTCAACGACAAACACTTTAAGTGCTAACAATTCCCTGGTATCACATGAGTGAGTCACAGTCAAACCTTGTACTGAAAGGATCCACCCACATGTTGAACTGTGGTTCAAGGAGGTCGGGATCTCACTACTCAAAGGGGCAGGCTTCGTGAATGCGCTTAGTGGTAGCCATGGCTGCAAAACCACTTAGGTGACGTACATCTATGGTAAGCGGACTAGAACCATTACAAGCCACTTGCTATAGAACAACCCTGTCTCTTCCCATAAGGCTCTCACTATTTGTAGAGAAGTCTTTTCTGATTCGTTAGCCAACCCCAAAGTGGTGTTGTTTTTGTTTTTGCGGGGGGGGGGGGGGGGGGAAACAATCGAATGTATTTAAAATATGCATTGAGGGCCTTGCGAAAGTTGTCATGGCGGCTTGACGTTCTCCCACTGGAATTCCACTGAAGACAACAAAGAAGATCAAGGGCCATTGTGCACTCAAATCATTCGTTTCCAGCAAAGATTTACGTTCTACCCTTGAAAGAACCACCCAACAAGGTTCGGTTGAACAGATCAGGGTTACCAGCGTCGACCCGAAAGCTTATTAAAACTCTGGGGAACCCAACTTGGCATGCTCGGGCGGGTATGAATGCCATCTTTGCTTTCTCGATATGCCTCACGATGGGAATTGGACTCCTCGCCGACCAAGAAAGAAAGCTGCACAAAACCTGCAGCTTCAAAGGGAAACCAAGGCCAAAGCTTTCGTTCCACCCCCCACCAGTTGGCTGTGGGTCAAGAAGGGGTACCCAAAATGGAACCCTGGTAAATGGAAACAAAGAGGTACCCAAAATGGAACCCTGGTAAATGGAAACCAAGACACCTGCGTAACCCTAGCTCTTCAATTTTGAGCCAGACCCGTCCCGCCTCAAGGAAGAGCTTGAGATGGATCCGCGCCAGGAGCTCCAATCACGGCTGCTCCGAAGCCCAAAACGGCTTCACCCCCAGGAAGTCTCGACTTCGACCGTCCAAACTTTTCCGAACTTCCGGAGTTCGCGCGGGTGAGGTGTGAGTCACAAAGCCGTCGCTGGATTCTGTTCGCTTGATTCCAGAGATGAATCTGGTCGACCCTTGACTCGCACTTGGGTGAACAGCCGACGGAGCCAACCGCATGCACATTTGGAGGTTTTGCTTACGCCACCAGCTTACGCCACCTTACGCGCGTGGAGCTTTTCCTTACGCGCTGGTCGGTATGACATGACTCTTACTAAACATGTACACGGAGGTCTTGGACGCTCAAATGGCACGATCACGCGGCCACATCAGAAATCACCTCACAGCCGGCTCTTGCCCAAGTTCTTCACGCGCTCAGCCTCGCAGTCAAGCGCCAACTTCCCTCAGCCAATTTGAGCGTTCAGGCCTCCCAGCAAAAACGGTCTCGGCTTTGGTTACGTGGAAACCGCAACCAGGCGCCGCAACCTTAGCTGGGAGCCCCTTTGCAAGAGGCTCCGGCTCATTGCGATCGGTGACTTCCTAGGGAGAGAAACCATATTGCCCGGAGATATGGCTGTGGGTAAATGGAAACATGGACTAACATATGCGGTCTCCTGGTGATTTAATTTTGATTCATACCCACCCTTCAGCGAAATGGAGTGCTAGCAAAGGGAGACCTTGTCAGCATTCCACGTCACCTTTCATTTGCAGATCCTTTGCTTCCATCTAAGCGAACATGGACTTCAAGCCCCCTTCTTTCCTGCTTCTGGCGTCCCATCTGGGAACAGTCTGCTTCACAACGTGAGCATCTGGCGGGCTTGGGGCTTCTGCGCAGTGAATTGTTTGGGTGCATCAAGGATTCGTCTAACCCGGGTGCGTGACGCACTTGGACCCGTGCGGGCGGTTTTTAGCGCACGGGTCGCAACTGGGAAGGTGTGGCCGTGACTAACTCCTCATGCTGCATGAAGGCTTCCGGCAACCAAGACCTCTAACGACCACGGCTTCGGTGTTGCCGTTTGTCACCGGAAACTGGGAATTGCAGGACCTTCGTTAGGCTCAAGAGCCTTCGCCAACCAGCTCGGAAATTTTGCATGCGACTCGAGTTCGGTCCCAAGAGGAACCATGCCGGAAGCCTCCTAAAAGCATGGGAAGGCTTCAGGAGGCAGAATGGGCGCCCGTGTTGGCTAAGATTTTATCTGACCTGTTAGTTCAGAGTGAGTCATAAGCTAAACTTGTCTGCCTGGCCCCACCTTTGAGAGAGACGATCCGAGGCGAAGGCGATTCTGATCGACTTGCTACCCCAGACGCGAAAGGACTCAGAAGTCCGACGCTCCACGCTTGCAAACACCAGGCCATGATATGGCAGGCTCTTGGTGGATGATCCTCATGGACCATCGAAGGACAATGCTTGGACGCAAGCAGCTGCGGACCCAGCTTTCAGCAAGCTCACAAGTTTCGGGCCTGGCTTTTGGTGCGTGCTGCGCGCAAAGCAGCTGGAATCTTGGCAAGTGGCTGGTCTTGCTTTCGCTTCCCCTTTGAAACCCACCCAAAAGAGTCCACCATTTTGAGAAACCGACCGGACCACCAGGGTTTGTGGAACGCATTCCTGTCGAATTGCCGGCCGGCTGCACAAAGGCCGGCTTCCCATGTTAAGCTCGCGATGCCGGGTAGAAGTCCTCTCCCGTGTGCAAAATGAATCCCTGGCATGGATTCCTCTTGCTCTTGAAAGCTCGGCCTCGCCACGCCGAGTGCGCCTTCCCAGCTGCCTGCGCCGCTGATGGCGAATCAACCCCGGTGCGGAAAGGGCACCTGGCAAGCAAGGTGGCTATCTCTGGCAGCGCGAGTGCGGGATTTGAAGCAGAAACCGGATCCAGATCGAAGCACCTGTGCTTTCAAAGGTCAACCTTGGTGATCCAAGTCCTGCGTGTCGAACATGGGCGAGGTCCCAATCCCTTTGCGCAGATTCGCGGTCCGAAGGCGCGGGTTTTTTCGCCCATGCGCCAACTCCTGTACGCATTGAAGAAACTACTGGCGCGCCTTCCGAGAGTTGCCGCGGAGTCGATGAGAGATTCCAGAGCCGGACTTGCTCGGCTCGCGGCGCGCCGGCCTGGCGAGCAATCGCTTCAAGGGACAGCCGGTGATATTTGGGTGGCGTTCGAAGCACTCTTCCTTCCTCCAGTAGAGAGGTTAGAATAAGGGTACCAACTAGGGGAACCCTCCCCCAAAAAGGGGAGAGAAAGAGCACTCCTGGGGGGGCCTAGCTTGCTATGAGCCGGCGTCGCGCAAGAGTTCAGAGACCCTGGCGCTGCTCTAGGAGGGGATCCCAGAAAATACTTCTCTCTTGGCCAAGACGGCCGCGGCCTTTTTCGGCGGATCTTGAGGTGGTTTCGGACTTATCTCCGAGACCCTCGGAAAAGCTCAGCTTGAGGAGGAGCAGGGGCTGTTGTGACGTCAGGTTTGTTCAGCCCTCCAAGTGGTTGGATGATGATGCTTGTGTGAAGTCGGGCAACCCGTGCCAATCCAAACCCGGTCTGCACACCCAACACCCCTTCGAGACAAACCTAACTTTTGCTACGCAATTCCTTGCCCTGCCTCCGGATTTGCTACTTCTTTCGGCACCTTCCTTGAATACGCTGCCGGAAAACTATTGAAGGAAGCAAGGCTCCAAAAAACACTTTTGAATCGCAACGGCGGATTTGAAATGAAACGACGGACATTTGTGCCTTTTCATCCAACGGCAGATGTTTTACACATCGGATGTACATGGCATTGCGCGACAGGCTCCAATTGAAGCGGAGTATTCCCCATGAATGAAACAACGCAGCTGCTCCAGAACGGGAGCTGAGGCCATGCAAGCGCACCAGGCGGCATTCACGTGTTGCGCATTTGAGCGCGTGCTTCTTGGCACTACAGCGGCAAAAAGCCATTCGGAGTCAGTCTGAGGCTGGCAGAGTGAGCTTGCAGCAAACATATCTTGTGCCAAGGTGGCGTGTGCGCTGCCGGCTTGGCCAGCATCGGGTGGAGAAGAAGTTGCGAAGGTCAAGCTCTCTGAATCCCTATGAAGCAGCTGGATCCCTATGAAGCAGCTGGATCCCTGTGAAGCAGCTGCCCAACTCCTATGTGCATGGGGTGAGCAAGGATTCCCCTCGACGGAGGTGTCGAAATCACATATATCGGCATCCCTTCAAGCCGGGGGAACAAACAGGTCAAGGCACGGCCTATGAAATCTGAACAGCGACTGAACCTCGTTTGTGAGACTCCATGAGCAGTTCACATCCTGGCAATTCAAATTGCCAGTTGGAGCGGTCCGGCACTGGCTGCGAAAGGATCGCCTCATCGCACGTCCTCCCGTCGCCTCCGAACGGCACCAAGCATCAAGACAAGGCACACTTACACTGAAGGATTCCAATCCCTCCCGCTGATTCTTTGCTGACCGTCAATCTTGGCCCATGCAGTATCAAGAGTCTGAGATCCGGAAACTTTGCGCAAGCACGGGTATAGCCCCTGCACTGCTATATGCTCAAGTTCCGGACAGGAAATCAGTTCCGGTCAGTGCCTCTTCCGAGCTGCAAATGTGAGGCGCAAGGAAGTGGACGAAACGAAAGGTGCTTCCAGCTCCGCTGAACCTGCTCAGCTCTCGCCCAGAGGACCCAGCCGCACCGACCCGTGAGCTATTCGCTTCACGGCTTCCCTTCAAGCCGGGCGAACAAAAAGGTCCTCAAGGCACGGCCTATGAAATCTGGACAGCGACTGAATCTCGTCTGTGAGACTCCATGAGTTGGCATCCTGGGACTTCAAACAACCAATTGAAGCGGTCCGGCGCTGGCTGCGAAAGGATCGCCTCATCGCACGTCCTCCCGTCGCCTCCGAACGGCACCAAGCATCAAGACGAGGCACACTTACACTGAAGGATTCCAATCCCTCCCGCTGATTCTTTGCTGACCCTCGATCTTGGCCCATGCAGTATCAAGAGTCTGAGAGCCGGAAACTTTGCGCAAGCACGGGTATAGCCCCTGCACTGCTTTTTTGCTCAAGTTCCGGACAGGAAATCCGTTCCGGTCAGTGCCTCTTCCGAGCTGCAAATGTGAGGCGCAAGGAAGTGGACGAGACGAAAGGTGCTTCCAGTTCCGCTGAACCTGCTCAGCTCTCGCCCAAAGGACCCAGCCGCACCGACCCGTGAGCCATTCGCTTCACGGCTTCCCTTCAAGTCGGGCGAACAAAAAGGTCCTCAAGGCACGGCCTATGAAATCTGGACAGCGACTGAACCTCGTTTGTGAGACTCCATGAGCAGTTCACATCCTGGCAATTCAAATTGCCAGTTGGAGCGGTCCGGCACTGGCTGCGAAAGGATCGCCTCATCGCACGTCCTCCCGTCGCCTCCGAACGGCACCAAGCATTCAATTCAAGACGAGGCACACTTACACTGAAGGATTCCAATCCCTCCCGCTGATTCTTTGCTGACCCTCAATCTTGGCCCATGCAGTATCAAGAGTCTAAGATCCGGAAACTTTGCGCAAGCACGGGTATAGCCCCTGCACTGCTATATGCTCAAGTTCCGGACAGGAAATCAGTTCCGGTCAGTGCCTCTTCCGAGCTGCAAATGTGAGGCGCAAGGAAGTGGACGAAACGAAAGGTGCTTCCAGCTCCGCTGAACCTGCTCAGCTCTCGCCCAGAGGACCCAGCCGCACCGACCCGTGAGCTATTCGCTTCACGGCTTCCCTTCAAGCCGGGCGAACAAAAAGGTCCTCAAGGCACGGCCTATGAAATCTGGACAGCGACTGAACCTCGTCTGTGAGACTCCATGAGTTGGCATCCTGGGACTTCAAACAACCAATTGAAGCGGTCCGGCGCTGGCTGCGAAAGGATCGCCTCATCCCACGTCCTCCCGTCGCCTCCGGTTGCCTCCCAAGCGTTCAATTTAAGACAAGGCACACTTCTCCCGCTGATTCTTTTGCTCACCGTGGGAATTTGGGCCCATGAAGTGTCAAGAGCAGGCCGCATGAATGGCCAAATGAAGCGCTCCGGGCTGAAACCGCAGATGATGTGTGTTGAACTCGTGTCTGCCATCAAGAGCCCAGACGAGCGACTGGTAACTACGATGGGGCTACGCCACATCTTGTTGCCCGTCAAAGTCTGGCATTGACAAGTCCACCTAGCTTGCTTTCATATTTCTGCGCACCAGTTTGCCATTAGGTTCGAAGGTAGCTAATTTTTGGGGGGGTCAGGCCCCAAAGGCAGCAACGGCTATTGCGTGTCTGTGTACTGCAGCACTGTCACTCACGAACGAACTTGGCTGGTGCGCTGAAGCGCATTGCCAATATGGTCACACACAAAATGGGCGAGCGCTCAGAGGCTTGAATGGGTTCCCACACACGGCTCGCGCTGATTCTTTGGTTGCGACTCAATTGTTAAGCGCTCCGAAACATCCACCTCTTGCCAAAACTATGCCTGCAGCTCGGAAATGGCAACTTCGAGGGGTTGTTCCCGCGCCTTGCTGGAGATGAGTGACAACGATCAATACTACAAGAGCTACATCTTTTCCGGACAAACTATGTTTCTGCTAAGCAACTCTTTGCGGTGCATGCAGATTTGCTGACTTCTGGCGCAACAACCAAAGGCACGCGTCAGAACCCAATTGGCCGGAGACGGCAAAGGTGCTGCTGATCCACTGTTATCAACTCGTCATATGGCATTGCACCCCTCAGCTGAGGCAGTCAGGCGACGGAATCATCATCGCTGAAGCTGAGTGCAAGCCACGAGCATTGCAGGATTTGCTCCTTCTCTGGCCGCCAATTCAGCGACGGGCCAAGATGCTGGAGATCAAGTCAGGCTCGGCCATCCATCTCTTCCTGGAATGCGTCGCTGCAAGGTTCCGGCATGGCAAGGCGGTGTGCTGGAAGCCAAACTTCAGCCAAGGAAAGCCACGCACTGGAAAAACTCGCTGCAGGCGGCCGGATCAAGATCAAAGAAGTCTGAGTGCCAAAGTCACACTCCATGGAGAAACGCTGGTTCTTCAATAGGGGCAAACCTGGAACGATGGAAATGGGGACTAGTGATCAATGTTCACACGAACGTCGCGCACCAGCGTAACTAGTGCTAATTGCATTGTTTTTGTCCTGACCAAGTGGTAGGCAGGGAAAAGAAGCCACACAAAGGTCACTTTAAAAATGGTTCTCCAAAGACCTCCAGGTTGCTTTTTCAGCCCAACTGGCCACAATTTATAAAACACACGTCGCGAGCGAAACGGATGGGGTTCAAGCCCTCAATGCTCAGCAAAACGGTTCAACAACAACCGCAGGATTGCAGTTGGTTCCTCTTCTTGGTAGGCTCGGAAAGGGAAACAAATTGGAAGGAACCGAAGTGGAGTCGGAGCTTAAAACTCGCGAGTCAGCTTGGACCTGCAATTTGTCCACCTGAATTCCCGGCAAATTAAGAGGAACCCAAGAAAAAGGACCTTCCCCCAGAAGCAAATTCCTCTGAAAACGGCCACATTGCCCCGCCGCAACGATGCTGGGCTGTTGCAGTGTTCTGTGTGCGTTTTGGTGGCCCGGCCTGTTTCTGGTGCCTGTTTCTGGAAAGTGCGTGCCCGCGTAAGTGGACCTCGTGGAGAATGTTGTTGTGTTTTTGTTGTTTTGTTTTTCTTTTTGTTATTTTTGTTTTTTTGGCAGTGTTGGCTATTCGAAGCTTCACCACCAGTTCAATGCTGGCTGTCGAAATCCTTATCGGTGATGCAAATCATGTGGGTAATGCTAGTGATGCTGTTGAGTGGATACTTGCAGGATAGCAGGAGTGACAACTGGCGCGAATGATAGAGTTGGTCACAAGAAACATCAGAACTTTCTCATGCTCACTCGTTTGGGTGCGCAAACAGGTGGTCCCCAATTATACATCCCCTTTCAAGATCGCCTTTCACCAAAATAGATCCGTTGAAAATTGCCAACGGATGCTTAACTCATCGCAAGGGAAAAGTAAGTACCCCTGAACCAAGAGCAAAGGCGAACCGCCATTTTTCTAACTAACGTGCCGCTGTCGTCGGCAAAAAAGAAGCTCAATGGCCACACGTACAATCGCGGAAGCACGCTCAGATCTTCTCCAAAAGCAGGAGGCAACAAGCCCGAGGAACTCTCAAACAACGGAGCTGTGTGCTTCCATGGTTGGGTGTGGGGCAGCTTGTAAGATGTACCCGTCACCTGAGCCACAAGGCCAGACTCCAAAAGGAAACCGCACGATCTCTCAAAATGTCCAAAAAAAACAAAAAAACTCTTGGTAAACGACAGCATGATAAACAATGGCGACTCAAAAATGCCGACGTGGCCCGTGTTCTCAGGACGGCGGTCTGCAAAACTCGGCGTTGTGCCGGTGAAATCTATGAGCTCACGATCCGGGCTTCGTGTAGCCCCACATCGCCTGCTGTTCGCCGAACTCCTTCAAATGGTTGGTGTCTTGTGAGTTCCAAGATACCAAATGGGGACAAGTGTTGACACTTGCAAGCAGACAAGAAGTTCCGGCCCTGGCCAGGCCACATGTTCAGGTGCTTGGATGGACAAATTAGTATTCAAATGAAACCTCTGGAATCGATGATAGGTGGCTCAACCCCCCATCCACCCACCCACATTGCTCAGATTGATGTCAGTCCACCCTTTGTGCGTCCAACCAATTCGAATCATAAGGCAACGCTTTACTTCTCAAAAGACTTCCTTCGTGATTACGTGTGGCACCGACAACCTCATGATGCGGGTCATGGTCATGAAAAAAAGAAGAAGAAAAACTTCTCATCGTGTGGGTAAAAAGGCCTCATGAAAATCGGTCGACTGGCACTTTCCAAGTGGTTGCTGCATTCTGATCCAAGCGTCGAGGACTAGTTTACCAACCCATACACAGAGAATGCAGCAACTCGGTTGCGAAATCTGCTCCCCTGCTAACAGTTTAACTTTTAGTGGTTTAAGGGAAAAACCATTAGTGGGCAAAAAGTTAAAGTCCTAACATCCAAGCAAAATGCACCAAAGGCAATTTGGCATCCAACTCCCCTGATTGTATCAGGGGTTCCCTGTATGCCTTGAAACATCACCCGAACTGATGTCCCAAAATGTGAAAGGACTACCCCAAAAGGTGGAAACTCAAGAACCGTTGTGAAAGCTTGTCTTGGCTGCTGTTGACCCAATGCCAATCGAAAAACAAGCGATCTAGTCCGAAGGGAAACTGCCCATTCTTCGGTCCCCGATTTTTCGAAAGTCCCATGTCAAATGTAAGCGTTTCCTGAACTAGGGGACGCCCTGCCCATTTGTGGGATTCGAAGGCAAATCCGCCGTAGACCCCTCTGGGCGTCTGAAAGGAATCGCTCCATTTCCTAAAGTGGCAAGGGTTTCCTTGCGGTTTCCCTTCCAATACCAACTAAAAGCGGGCGTTTCCACCATGTCGAGAATTTCAGAAACACCCGGTCTATGTTTGGCAAAAAAAAAAAACGATGTTGCTTGGAGACTCTCCTGTCTGTCTATCGCAATGGGATGCGTGGTCCACCATGGTGCAAGCCTCTCAAAAGCCTCTTAGTTGCCACCCGAGCAGATCCGGTGGGAATTGTTCTGGGGGACCTCTGTGCAGGCAATGTGGATGCTGAAAATGTTGAAGGGAAGCGGTTGAGTTCCTGTGTAAAAATCACCTATGGTTTGCGACGATCACATTGACTTGCAACATCTTTCCTTCTTTGTCGAATGTAACCCCAAACCAACAGGACGCATATGCAGGTGCGAAAAGGAATTTACCAGGCGAGTGTGTGGGGGAGATGTTCCCCCAATATGGGTGTGGCTTTTTTGAGGGTAATTACCAATTTTTATGTGGTTTTAATCGGAAACCAAAAGAAAACAACCATTTTGGAAAGTTCTCAAAAGAATGGACCTGCCCATATCCTCTCTGTGGCTACACAAGGACGCCTCACGCGCTTTTTGCGGGCCCTCCAAGTGGACAAACATAAGGGACCCGCCTCAGTTCACGTGCGGGTTTCACCGTTCAGAGCTTGCGGAGCATCGCCGAAAAGAAGAAGCTACGGTCAAAGGACCGGATTGCTCCCCGAACTCAACATGCAACCCAAAACGCCCACTAGAGGAATCTGCTTTTGGGGGAAGAACTTTTGTTTGGGCTCCATGAGATCGAAAACCCTACTGGTCAAATTTGTGGTCCTCCTCAAGCCCGGAGCTGCGCCTCATCCGTCCACCTTCTTCATGTGGACTGCCAGCTCCACCAGGCGGTTGGAGTAGCCTAAGACTGGGTGTGGCTCAAAATTAAAGACCTAGACTTACGCAGGTTTTGGTACATCTTTAGTCTCCATGTAGCAAGCTCTCATTTCGGTACATTGCGCCACAGCCATGTGTTGCCAGGTCGGGATATTGGGCCCAAAGAAGCAATGCCCACTTCAAGAAGGACCTGAGCTGAAAAAAAAAAGGACAGGGCCCCTTGCAAGGCTTGTCGGGTCCATCGTTCAAGAAACTCCCCAGGTTTTTGTGGGAATTCCGCTAAGGGATCTTTTTTCGGTGACCTCGGTTGGTGGACCCCGATTCGAATCTTCCTGTTCGTCAGGGTGGTTCCTCCAGATCCCTTGGAACTCATTGTCAACCAGGGTCAAACCCTAACCCCCCCCCCCAAACAACAAACATGACATCGCACAACTTCCCTTTCTAAGAAAAACCATCGCCATCTTCACTTCCACCTTTGCGAGAAAAGATCGCCCTTCTCGCGACGAGAAAAGATCTAGCGCCAAGACGCCCCACTCGTTGTCGTACCAGCTGACCAGCTTCACAAAGTTGTCCTCAGCTCCAACAAAGTCGCCCGGGCGCGAGTTGGAAGCTGGCCGCAGCAAGCAGCAAGCGCCTTCTCGGTTGAGGGAGCCCCCTTTGGGGTGTCTCCCGATAAGCGAAAGGTTTCTTTGCTCCAGGGGCCGCCCCCCCCCCCCCCCCCCGCCGGGTTTTTGGGTGGTTCCAACTTTCTCCAGGGGAAGCAGAAGGGAGAGACCACCAAATGTGTCTTGGGGGAGGACGTTGTCATCTTGAGCCACACCCAAAACCTGGGGGCCCTCCGTTACGAGGAGGGTGTACCTTCCTCGAGAACTTGTTCAAATCCCCGAAATCCAAGCCGCCACCTGGGTGGCTCGTCTTTTTGGAGATGGTACCCCTTGTTGGTCGGTGTGTAAAGGGAATGTGGGTCCCCGAACGTTCCCTAGAAAAAAAAGAAGAAAAAACTACTGACCCAATGGAATCAGGTGCTAGTGTCTTTTTCAAGGCTCTTCAAAGAATTAGAACGCTGAAGAATTGTCTTGTGATCATCAGGTAAAGTGGTTGGATTGCACCACAACACACTCACTAAGTTGGAGGCCCGTCAAATCAACACAAAACCCACAATGGGATCTGCCCACGGATTTCGATGTGCCAGGTCTCGTTCAGGGAGATGCCGGCCTGGACGTCGAAGATGGACGAGGCCTCGCAGAAAAATGGAAATCCCACCCCAAGTTCCCCAAAACCCCCGATTTGTTGATGCGTTTCGGTTGGAAATACGCGAAAAGTTCGATGTCAAGGGACTCTTGAGAGCCAAAAGTTGCGTGACCGGTTGGCTAGGCTCTGACAAATGGGACGCACACGAGTCTCTTTTTGGTGCAAGCGATCGGAACGCGTTTTAGAACCCGGTTTTTGGGTACTCCTGACGGTAAGAACAAGGTGACGTGCAGGTCAAGCAACCGATTTGGGATTGGAAAAAAAAGCGTCCGGTGCGCTTGGGGTCTATGCGCCAAACCATGCCACATGCGTTCTCCGAGCTCTCAAAAAATACCATTCATGGGTCACCCCGAGGAAACCTTCGGACCGAACCCTGGGATAGGATGCGGGCCCGACTCTCGTTCTTGAACGTAACGAGGGAGTCATTTGACTTAAGCGAGACCTCAAGCGATACCTCGCAACTTGTGTAATTTATCTTCACGTCAAAAAGCAAGACCTGGTAGCCTCTGGAAGGAGGCGGTATTTCGGTATTTTGGTGCCGCTTCTGGCAAAGTTGGATGTGCTGGTGGTTGTTTCCCATTGTTCCACCCACTTAGCAAGTAAATTATGACCATGGTTGCAACATCACTTACTTGCCCGACTTGGGGTTGAACATCCAAGAATCCAAGTAGCAAGCAAACCGGAACCACAACTAAAACACAGATGGTTGGCGAACTTGAACAAATGACAGTTGGCGAACCTGAACAAAATGAAAGAGAAAAGTAGTAAGCAAACCTGGGTAAAATCACAATAGCAAAACAACAAATGAATTTACAAGTAACCTCCCACCAATTAACCTGACGTTCGGGGAGGGGGGGGGGGGTCCTTGTTTGGACCATTCTCCTTTTAAAGGGTTCCATGTTGATTGGTAGGAGGGTAACTAAGTAAAGTAACAGTATGTTAATGCATAGTAACTTGAACAAATGTCATACGAACTGTGGAAAATATAAAATGCAAACTAAAAACCAACCAACCAACCAACCAACCAACCAACCAACCAACCAACCAACCAACCAACCAGCCAGCCAGCCAGCCAGCCAGCCAGCCAGCCAGCCAGCCAGCCAACGAGGAAACCAGCCAACGAGGAAACCAGCCCTCGAAAAAAGCCGGCCCTAGATTTAATACAAAAAAAATAAATCGAAAAGGTCCATAAGCTAAAAAAAAAAAAAAAAAACTAAAAAACTAAAAACCAAATGAATCGAACAGGTCATAAGCTGAACAAAAATAATAATCAAAAAGTTCATAAGCTAAACAAACAACCACAAAACTAGCAAAGAAAAACAAATCAAAATGATCCAAGTTGCATCTTTACTATTGTTTGGTTAATGAATCCAAGTTGCATACAAACTAAAACTCAAATGACTCCAAAAGCTTCATAAGCTAAACAAACAAACAAACAAAAAACTAAACACCAAATGAATCCAAAAGCTTCATAAGCTAAACAAGCAAACAAACAAACAAACAAACAAACAAACAAACAAAACAGAACTAAACACCAAATGAATCCAAAAGCTTCATAAGCTAAACAAACAAACAAACAAACAAACAAAAAACTAAACCCCAAATGAATCCAAACGCTTTATAAGCTAAACAAACAAACAAAAAACTAAACCCCAAATGAATCCAAAAGCTTCATAAGCTAAACAAACAAACAAAAAACTAAACCCCAAATGAATCCAAAAGCTTCATAAGCTAAACCAACAAACAAAAAACTAAACCCCAAATGAATCCAAAAGCTTCATAAGCTAAACCAACAAACAAAAAACTAAACCCCAAATGAATCCAAAAGCTTCATAAGCTAAACAAACAAACAAAAAACTAAGCCCCAAATGAATCCAAACGCTTCATAAGCTAAACAAACAAACAAAAAACTAAGCCCCAAATGAATCCAAAAGCTTCATAAGCTAAACAAACAAACCAAAAACTAAAGCCCCAAATGAATCCAAAAGCTTCATAAGCTAAACAAACAAACAAAAAACTAAACCCCAAATGAATCCAAAAGCTTCATAAGCTAAACAAACAAACAAAACACTAACCCCAAATGAATCCAAACGCTTCATAAGCTAAACAAACAAACCAAAAACTAAACCCCAAATGAATCCAAAAGCTTCATAAGCTAAACCAACAAACAAAAAACTAAACCCCAAATGAATCCAAAAGCTTCATAAGCTAAACAAACAAACAAAAAACTAAACCCCAAATGAATCCAAAAGCGTCATAAGCTAAACAAACAAACCAAAAACTAAACCCCAAATGAATCCAAAAGCTTCATAAGCTAAACAAACAAACCAAAAACTAAACCCCAAATGAACCCAAACGCTTCATAAGCTAAACAAACAAACAAAAAACTAAACCCCAAATGAATCCAAAAGCTTCATAAGCTAAACCAGCAAACAACAACTAAACCCCAAATGAATCCAAAAGCTTCATAAGCTAAACAAACAAACCAAAAACTAAACCCCAAATGAATCCAAAATCTTCATAAGCTAAACAAACAAACAAAAAACTAAACCCCAAATGAATCCAAAAGCTTCATAAGCTAAACAAACAAACAAAAAACTAAACCCCAAATGAATCCAAAAGCGTCATAAGCTAAACAAACAAACCAAAAACTAAACCCCAAATGAATCCAAAAGCTTCATAAGCTAAACAAACAAACCAAAAACTAAACCCCAAATGAACCCAAACGCTTCATAAGCTAAACAAACAAACAAAAAACTAAACCCCAAATGAATCCAAAAGCTTCATAAGCTAAACCAGCAAACAACAACTAAACCCCAAATGAATCCAAAAGCTTCATAAGCTAAACAAACAAACCAAAAACTAAACCCCAAATGAATCCAAAATCTTCATAAGCTAAACAAACAAACAAAAAACTAAACCCCAAATGAATCCAAAAGCTTCATAAGCTAAACCATAAAACAAACCAAAAACTAAACCCCAAATGAATCCAAAATCTTCATAAGCTAAACCAACAAACAAAAAACTAAACCCCAAATGAATCCAAAAGCTGCATAAGCTAAACAAACAAACAAACAAACAAACAAACAAACAAACAAAAAACTAAACCCCAAATGAATCCAAACGCTTTATAAGCTAAACAAACAAACAAAAAATAAACCCCAAATGAATCCAAACGCTTCATAAGCTAAACAAACAAACAAAAAACTAAACCCCAAATGAATCCAAAAGCTTCATAAGCTAATCAAACAAACCAAAAACTAAACCCCAAATGAATCCAAAATCTTCATAAGCTAAACCAACAAACAAAAAACTAAACCCCAAATGAATCCAAAAGCTTCATAAGCTAAACAAACAAACAAAAAACTAAGCCCCAAATGAATCCAAACGCTTCATAAGCTAAACAAACAAACAAAAAACTAAGCCCCAAATGAATCCAAAAGCTTCATAAGCTAAACAAACAAACAAAAAAACTAAGCCCCAAATGAATCCAAAAGCTTCATAAGCTAAACAAACAACAAAAAACTAAGCCCCAAATGAATCCAAAAGCTTCATAAGCTAAACAAACAAACAAAAAACTTACCCCAAATGAATCCAAAGCTTCATAAGCAAACAAGCAAACAAAAAACTAAACCCCAAAGGAATCCAAAAGCTTCCTAAGCAAACAAACAAACAGTGAAAAACAAACCCCAATGAATCCAAAAGCGTCATAAGCTAAACAACCAAAACAAACCGCAGAAGACCAAGGACAAGACAAACAAAAAACAAAACCCCCAAATGATCCCACAAGCTGCAAAGCTCAACAAACAAACAAAAAACTAAGCCCCAAATGAATCCAAAAGCTTCATAAGCTAAACAAACAAACAAAAAACTAATCCCCAAATGAATCCAAAAGCTTCATAAGCTAAACAAACAAACAAAAAACTAAGCCCCAAATGAATCCAAACGCTTCATAAGCTAAACAAACAAACAAAAATCTAAGCCCCAAATGAATCCAAAAGCTTCATAAGCTAAACAAACAAACAAAAAGCTAAACCTCAAATGAATCCAAACGCTTCATAAGCCAAACAAACAATCCCAAAAAAAAGGCAAAAGGCCTTGTAGGACACAAAGTCCGTGGAGACCACCTCGTCGTCGGTCCAGTCCTTAGAGACCGACTGCCTCCTTTCCAACCGCCCGAAAAAAAAAAAAAAAGAAAAAAAAAAAATAGAAAAAAGAGAAAAAAAAAAAAAAAGAAAAAGGGAAGAAAAAAAAATAAACCCGTCGCCCGCACGCGGGCCGCGGCCGCCCCCCACCGTCCCCCCCCGCGGGCATCGCCTTTTTTTTTGGCACCCCGCCTGCCGGCTCCGCGGCCGCCCTGCCCCTGCCGGCCTGGTGCCCCGGTCCGTGTCCCTCGCGGCGCGGGGGCGGGCGCGGGTTTGTGCGGCCCGGGGTGTGTAAGTAGCCGGGGCCCCCCCCGCCCCCCAGCCAGGCCGGCCGCCGGGGCGCCCCCCGGGTCACACCGGCGGGGGCGCCCGGGGGGTCTCTTCCCCCCTCCGCCCTGGCCGCCGCCCCCCCCCGCTCCGTTTTCATCTCCACCCTCGTGCTCTATACCCCTCCCCCCTCCCCACCCCCCCCCACCACACCCGGCCCTGCCACCGCTAGGAGAAAACACCCCCAAGCCATCCGAGCACCGGGACACCCCACTATTCAACACCGACATGGCCATGGGTCAAAATCCCATGGTTTGTTTAAAGAACACCCACCATTCAACACCCACATGGCCCTCTTTTGTTCTTCCTGCCCCACCATTCAATACCCACATGGCCCTCTTTGTTCTTCCTGTCTCTCTATTCAACACCCACATGGGTCAAAATATCCAATCCCCCCAAACAGCATCCCAATCCAACCACTAAAATAGTTCTAAAATGGGTGGTGAATCACCTACCCCAAAATGGGATCCCATTGGTTTTGACCCACAGTCATATGTTTCATACAAAACTCAGGCTTTGAAAAACACTTCCAAGGCTACCTTCGAGAAAAATACACTTTGGGATTTCCCTCCCCCCTAGAGCTGGAGGGTGAAGTTCCCAAGACCTTAAGGAGTTGCAGGGTGGTTCCCTCCAAGGCCGGAGATAGGCGAAGGTTTGCGTGGAAGGGGTGACCAAATTGTGAGGGGCACTTTGCATAGCCTCCTGGCTCTGGAAGCATCTGACTCCCCCGCTTATTCCTAGAAGAACATCCATTTGCTGAAGTCCTCTGGTCCTCTGAAACAGTACTGATGGGTTCTCTTTTTACCAAAAGGTGAAAATGAAAAATGGTCATCTCGCCAGCCACCCCGCCCTTGCGGGAAACGTTCTTTCGAGGTTCCCTCTTTCAGGCGCCAAAACTTCCTTTGGAGGCTGTGAGCCTCAACTCCGCTTCCCCAAGAATCAACTTGAGCACTTTTCCCAACCTCGTCGCGCGTGTCGAAATGAAGGGAAGCCGAAACCAATGGGTGTGTTTTTTGCCCGATCCTCTTTGAGCACGGGTACTTGACGCGGGCTGAATGAATTCCTGGCTTCACCTCGGGCCTCCGTTCTTTGCCACATTGATGTAAAAGCAAATGGGTGTGGATCAAAGATACTGTGGATGGACGAAATCCATTTCGCGCCACCTAAGAAACCCTGGAATGATGATCCCCTGTAAATACCAACCAACAATGGTTTCTCATGGTTTCCAAGTGGTGCAGGATTTCGTCCACCCACAGTGGGGATACAAAATTGAGTGCCTCGGTCATGGAAACAAGGACTGAACCCTGACCCTGCGCTGCCCTACCCACATACCCTCCCAAGAAGAAGTGGAAGTAGAAAATCCGGCGGGTCTCCAAAAGAAAAGTCGTCCAAAACCCTCAGGAGCTTTCATGATTGGAGACCTCACGCTGGAGAGCCCGAAAACCCAGACTCGAGCTTTTACTGAGGCGGAAATTCAGGTTTTGCAGCAAACGAAGGGGTGTGTGTATGCCTGGCATGCTGACAAGGGAGCCTGATGGCGAACATCCCCATACCTTTTTGAAACAATGCAATTTTGGCACCTAAGCAAAAACTGCTAACTGTCCAAAACCAGATGTCCCTCTTTCGGGCGGGCATGTCGAACTCCATTACAAAGGCCTACTGTTAGACCTCATAGGGATAATTGCCTTGCAAAGGTTGGGTGGCTCTTCTGTTTTCTTCGCGGGGGGTCTTGGTCGATGTTGAAGGGAAACCAGAAGGAAAACCCACCAAATTCGGGGGGGGCCCTAAAAACACCACACACAGGACTTTGAGCGCCCCGCCAGCACACCCTTCATGGGGCCCTCAGCGGCTTCCTGGCCAAAGCAGATATGACATGGCTTATCGCTTATCCTGGGCTTATCCAGGGATAGTCCCTTGCATGGCCGCCCCTAGGGGTTGCTGAGTGGTGATACTATGACAATCCCCTCGATTGCTTGAACATCAAGTCGTCTCTTCTTTTGAAGGGGCCATCGTGTTGGCGGGGATGCTGGCGACAGTCAGGGCAGGCTAGGGATGTCGGGGATGTTTTGGGATCCTGGCCTGTGTCCGGGTGATGCAGGGGATGCTGACGAGGAGCTTCTGGTGCAACAAAACACATCAGCGATGTTTCCCTACAGGTAGGGTTGCCCTCGCTTCGAGGAAGACACACAGCGCAGCCGGATTTGACTCTGCATTACCCTGCGCCTCAGAAGGAACAGTCCAAACGCAGGATCGCTCCGACCCGGATCAGTGCTCTTGGGCAAAATGTTGGTCCCGAGTCGCCGGGTAAAGCGTCCAAGGAAGCCATTTGCCGATCTCCCAAACGGGTTGCGATCTGATGTTAGGAACGGCCGAAGGAGCAAAGGCACAATGAGAAGGGAGCGAGACGGGGCCCCATGTGAGTCACATTCAAAACCTGGTACAAAAATGGTGCACCCAGAACCATGTAAAGAACTAAGAAGGCGGCCGCAGCTATTTATGGTTGGGATCGTCCCTTACTAACCTTCATCTACCCAGGTTTTGAGCAAGTGGCTCATGTGAAAAAACTGAACGCACCCTGCTGAACGCCCCGGCTCAGGGGATCTCGCAAACCATTTCAGCCTCATCCCCCAGGCCGGTTTGGCTGGTTTGGTGGTTTGGCAGAAAGGGGCTGGCTTCCCGTTGACCCGCAAGGGTAAAACATCCCCAAACCAATCCATCCCGCGATTCGGGGAAAAGCCTGAACCGTTGGCCCTCGAAAACACCACTCTGTGAAAAACAAAGCACGCATCCAGCCTGGAAGGTGAAAAACCCCGCAGGAGGGGGAAAAACAAAAGAAAAGCAATCTGAGGATCCCCTCACACAGGGGTTGGATTGATCCGTGGGCCATTCCTCGGTGGATCTGGCGGATCCGGCGGAATGCGTCTGACTATGCGTGAAAAACTCCAGTAGAACAAATCAACACAAAGAGCCAGCTACATGTTAGTCCCCCCTAAAAATGGCGAGGATGTTCCTTTGGGTTTCCCTTTTAATACTAACCAAAAGACACTTCCAGAAAGACTAGTGAATGGCTCGTGCTGTTGGTGCGTTTTGTTTCTTCAGGAATCTGATGAATGAGGCAAGCTGATTCTACCCGATTGGTTCCTTTGCAACCAACCTTGTTGGTTCATCCCTCTTAATAAATGACAGCCAAAGCCTTCCTCCGCTTGTCCACGGTCCAAACAAAGAGGCACGCCCGTTTCCCGCCGCAGGCAAGGTCCTTAGAATTTTGGAAGTTCTATGAATGCGAGATCGTTCAGGCGAGCGGTTTTCCCTCACTCCCCCACCCCCCCTTGTTTCGTCAGGAATCGCCTTCTGACACCTGAAGCCCCCTACAAAACCTTGTTTCCTAAGGAATCACCTCACACCTGAACCTTGGGATCCCCAAACAGAAACCCACGATTTGGAACCCTCTCGCTTCGGGAACCCCCCGTTCGAACCCATCGCCTTGATGGCGGCCACGATCTCCTCGTACTTCGCGGCCTTCTCGATGCGGCAGGTGAGGTCCACCACCGACACGTCCGGCGTGGGGATGCGGAAGGCCATGCTGGAAGGCGGTGTGAAGAAGAGAAAAATGCAGCTTTTATTGTGTGTTTGTTCTAACAAAACAAAACAAAACAACATTTTTTCTAAAAGATGCATTTTCAAAGCAAGGCCATGTGTGTTTATTGTGTGTGTGTGTGTGTGTTTGTTCTAACAAAAAAAAACATGCAACGGGCACCTTGCCGGTGCACTCCAGCTTGCCCTCGAGGCCCCCGAGAGCAAGGAAAGAAGGAGGAGAAAAAAGGGGCGCGGAAAACTGCGCCGGCGATCTTTTTTTGAGAAAAATAGAATAAAATAAAAACAACAACGTGACGTTCAGTGGTTTCTTTGGGTATGGAAAACGTGACATCGAGTGGGTTCTTTGGGGACGTAAGTCAAAACTTGGATTGCAAACACGTCAAGCTTCCTGTTGATCGACGGTCAAACTCCCCAGATTTGGGGAGGGGCGTGGTCATGGTTCCTTTTATGGAAGCACTTGAGATGCTTGTCTAAAATGTGTAAGGGCTCCATGACCAGCCTAAGACCAAGCAGCCTGAAGTTTTGACGGCGCATATGTCTGATATGTGGGATATCAATGGGTTTAGTGAAAGGTAAGTGAAAAGAAAACATTTTCCGAAAAGTCTAAGGGGTGGTTCGGGGTCACAAGAGCGGTTCTCTGGAAGGAACCTTCAAGTCGCAACCTCCCGAAGCCTGACATCGGCAAAATCCACGAGTCACGGGTGAGCCTCCGTTTTATCTTCAACCGCCAGAATGACTGCTTTCCTCAACCAGTTTTGCTTGAAACCAAGCCCGACATGGCCTCAAAGAAAGACACGCGATGCAATCCGTCCGACATCCCGGAGAGTTCTTTACACCGGACATCATTTTCAAACGGCTGACAAGGTGACGCATCCAATATGCAACAAAGGGTACACAGAAACCCTCTGCCTCACATTTCGCCTTCCCGAAAACGTGATCGACAACCACCCGCTCCATATTTCCTCTACATTCTAAGGGTAGCTTCCCCATTCTTTCCAGGACTCCTTCTTTCTAGAAAACCACCCAAAACCCTGGAAAAACAGCTGGTTGTAAATAGAATGGGGAATCAACCCCTAGATACATGAAACAAATACAACAAATGTTTGGAGGAGACCCCATGGCGAGGCATCAGGGTGACACGACTCTCCCCACGGCACCCAGTCAGCTTGCCGTTCATGGCCGGGATCACTTTGCCCACCGCCTGCGCAAATGAGCAGCCAGCCGGGCTGGGGATGTCCTTTCTTAGGACCTGGACCGGCTTTCCTCATTTTCCCTTAAAGCCACAGAGTACCCGCCTTTTGGGAAACAAATAAAAAATCCGCCAAACTTCAAGGGCCTGGAGATGTAAAAGGCCTAGCTTAAACCAAGGGTCTTGCTCAAAAGGCCTTGCAATCTTCTATCAGCCTGCTTTGCACAGCTCAGATTCAGTGTCGTTTCCCGTTGCCAGTCAGTGCATCCTCTTGAGATACCAAAGAGGCTATGCGGCTCAAAACTTGGGGTGTTTTTTTTGGATTGGCTGCAAAGGATACCAGAGAAATCTGTATGAATGCAAACCCGACTGTTCGAAGCCATATCTTTTAGTCCCCACAAAGCCCTCCCAAACGAAAACGAATGGGCCATGGTCCAAGTATTGACGGATCATAGACATGGCTAGCTCAATGAATATGGATCCTGCACCAATATATACATATATATATATATATTTCTTTACATAAAATATGAATGATCATTCCCAGGGCAGAAAGGGATGTTGGGAGCGGCGGGTCCTGAAAAACCTTAGCCTGGTATACAGATGTGTACATATATATATATATATACAAATGTGTGTATATATATATATATATACACCTCCACTGGGGACATCCCTCGCTCTAGCAAAAAGTGATCCATTGTTCTGGTGGGAAACCACCCCAACATCTCCCATTGTTGCGGTGCAAAAAGGAACCATGTTCGGACAAGAAGCATCCTTGGAAACGGAAAGTCAAGCGCAAAAAGTCGGGTTCTTTTCACCCTGGCACGTGCGGCCTTCTCAAGATGGATTCCCCGGAACACACCCCCACCCCACAAGAATTGCCCATGTACAACCAATCCAGAGGTGTGTCCTTGAGCGGAGTTGTTGAAAAAAAGTGCTTGTTGAAAGGGGCACAAGGCGTCCAAAAAGGAACCGGGGATCTTTATGGCAACCTCCCCTTTCATTTTGAGGTTCAACCTATTTAGGGGGGTGTCTTTTTTTTGAATTTGATCCCAGTTTTCATTTAAAACCGAATGCCAAAGAGGGGTACCCTCCAAAAAAGGCACACCCTTTTGGGAGCTGACTCAAAAACTTGCCGAATGTTGAAGGGAGCTGCTGGTCTACAATCTAAAAGGTCTAACAAGTGGAAAGGACTTTGCCCAAAGGGTTTTGCAATGCTCAACAAAAGTGACCCGCCACCCAGCGCGGTGTGTCAGCGCAGAGAGATGGATCGTTTTGCCTTGGCCGCGCCAGTGGAGGACGGGATGATGTTTTGCGAGGCGCAGCGGCCGCCGCGCCAGTCCTGCGACTTGGAAAATGACCAACCAACCGAGGAAGGGACACACAAGCAAAAACTAGACCACGGTTGGCCCGAAAGCATAACATCGCAAGCGAGGTCGGCCCAACGCTGCAGGATGCGTTCTTTTTCCCTACACGAAGCATTCGTGAAGCAAGCGCGAGACATCACCAGAGCAAACTGGTCGGTGCAAGTTGGTCTGCGCAAGTTGCTCTACGCAAGTTGCACTGTGCAAGTTGCTCGGCGCAAGTTGCTCCGCGCAAGTTGCTCCGTGCAAGTTGTGCACTTGCACTTGCAACTTGCACTTGACTCCATGCACTTGGCTCCTTGCACTTGGCTCCTTGCACTTGCAACTTGCACTTGACTCCGCGCACGTGCAACTTGCACTTGACTCCATGCACTTGGCTCCTTGCAACTTGCAATGACTCTCATGACTCCTTGCAGAAACTCCTTGCAATGACACCTTGCAATGACTCCTTGCAATGACTCCTTGCAATGACTCCTTGCCATGACTCCTTGCAATGACTCCTTGCAATGACTCCTTGCAATGACTCCTTGCAATGACTCCTTGCAATGACTCCTTGCAATGAATGACTCCTTGCAATGACTCCTTGCAATGACTCCTTGCAATGACTCCTTGCAATGACTCCTTGCATGACTCCTTGCCATGACTCCTTGCAATGACTCCTTGCCATGACTCCTTGCAATGACTCCTTGCAATGACTCCTTGCAATGACTCCTTGCAATGACTCCTTGCAATGACTCCTTGCAATGACTCCTTGCAATGACTCCTTGCAATGACTCCTTGCAATGACTCCTTGCAATGACTCCTTGCAATGACTCCTTGCAATGACTCCTTGCAATGACTCCTTGCAATGACTCCTTGCAATGACTCCTTGCAATGACTCCTTGCAATGACTCCTTGCAATGACTTTCATGATGATGATTCCTTGCAATGACACCTTGTAATGACTCTCATGAGAACAACTCAAGTGAACCCAGCGGAAGAACCCTTCGCCATGCTTTCGGGAAAAAAACTAAACAAACCAAAAATGAAACCACGAACCAACCGACCGAGCAACCGACCGACCGACCGACCGACCGACCTACCGACCCAGGAAGCAAGAAAGCAAGCAAGCACGCAAGCAAGCCAGCGAGCAAGCAAACAAGAAGGCCACCGACCCACTGACCAATCCAAGCAAGCAGGCAGGCAGGCAGGCACGCAAGCAAACAAGAAAGCAAGCAAGCCATCACGCCTGCCAGCAAGCAACCAAGCAACCGAGCAACCAAGCCACCAACCAACCAAGCAACCAAGCAACCAAGCAAGCAAGCAACCAAGCCAGCAACCAAGCCAGCAACCAAGCAAGCAACCAAGCAACCAAGCAAGCAACCAAGCAAGCAAGCAAGCAACCAACCAAGCAAGCAAGCAAGCAACCAAGCCAGCAAGCAAGCCAGCAAGCCAGCCAAGCAACCAAGCAACCAAGCAACCAAGCAACCAAGCAACCCAGCAACCAAGCAACCAAACAACCAAGCAACCAAGCAACCAAGCAACCAAGCAACCCAGCAACCAAGCAACCAAACAACCAAGCAACCAAGCAACCAAGCAACCAACCAACCAACCAAGCAAGCAAGCAACCAAGCAAGCACGCAAGCAAGCAAGCAAATAACCAAGCAACCAAGCAACCAAGCAACCTAGCAACCTAGCAACCTAGCAACCAACCAACCAACCAACCAACCAACCAACCAACCAACCAACCAACCAACCAACCAACCAACCAACCAGACAACCAAGATCATTTCTCAGTCTCTATTTTTTGCCCTAATCCCCACTCAACCAGGTAGAAGAGGATGCGCCGGATTCCGGTGACTGCGGAAAAAAAGGTTGGGAGTCTGAATGGACCCTGGGCATCAGGACTCACGCATAAAACGCAATCACCTGGGTCCACTAAACGAGGGAAACCAGAAGGTCAGTCCGGGTGGACTCGCTTCTGGGGAAAGCGCCCAACAAGCAAAACGAGTATGGGCCCCAACGCAAAACACCTCCCTCCTGTTTCCTTGGGTGTCAACTTCGCTGCCTTGTTATGACTGGGGCTTCCCGGATAAGGGTGACATGGCTTGAGCAGAGTTTGCCAACAAATGGGCCCAAATACATCCAGAAACCACCGATCAGTCACAAAGAAATCCTCCAAACCAGCCCTGTAAACGCGACGTTCAATATGGTCAAAATGTATCCTTTGAGTAAGCCTGTTGAACATCCCAGCAGGCAAGCAACCTACTTACGGGACCGCGCTCCAGCTGCAATCCCAATGTCAAAAACATGTTAAAGCATACTAGCACAATACAGGTGATAATTTAAAAACCAACAAAACAAAAAACGATGCAAGCCAAAATGAGCCATAAACATGAGATAATAAAGTAGTCGAGGGCCTTGCCTAGCAATAAATTGCTTTCATACATACACCCCCCCCCTACATTTTTTTTCATCTTCCATCTTCTACCCTTATTCGTTTTCATCATTTTTCTACATTCCTTTCTGTCCATCTCATCCGTTTTTTCTCATCATTTTTCCAAAATTTTCGCCATCCTTTTCTCCTTCCTCCTCGCCTCATTCATTTCACCAACTACCTTTCAAAATGTCATTTCCTCGATCTCCTCACCTCATCCATTTCAAAAAAATAAATTTTGCAAAATATATTGCAAAAAATATTTGTCATCAAAAAAATATTCGAACTGTCTAAAAACGATTTGTCCATTTCTCGGACAAAAAATAGAACAGCAACAACATCACTCCCCTCCTTCGTTTCATCACTGTTATCACTCCTAATCAGTAAATGATACAATAGTGTTCATATTATTGTATCAATCACTCTAAGTTTCCCTATGCTTCTCCATTATGTGTTTCTCCCATTGATACGGTAGAAAACTGGCTCTACATGTCAAGCACCTAAAATGTTTTTTGCCATCTATGATTTTGATTTCATCAGGTTCTGGCAGTTTCTCCTCAGGGTTCTCGCTTCTTCTCAGGTTTCCTTGATGCCATGCCGTTTTCTCGTGTCTTGCTTTGCTTTTTAGTTGCACTTCAACATCACATAATGGACAGTAATGCGTTCTTGTTTTGTATTCCTTCATGTATTCTCTTTGCCTTTCTTGGCATTTTTCAGGATTGTTCTTTCTATCTTCCCTTCTGTATTCTCTGTATTTTTCAGGGTTGTTGTGGTAGTGTCTTTTATTTTTTGCTCTACATATATTGCAAGTCTTAAACCCTTCTTCAAACTTGTCGGCTTTTTGATTGAACATGCATTTGCTACAATACTTTCTTTCAATTTCCATCCTTATTATCTATAGGTGTTCTCTCTTTAAGTGTACATCCAAGCCTATAATTTATGGACAAAATGTAGGCGTGGTGCTCCTTGTAGGATTTTAGGGGTTTATGTTGTGTTTCTGGGAGTAGGTTTTTGGGAACCGTCTCCCGCCCGCGCTTCGACTTCATCCACTTCATCATCGTTATGTGCCCCTGCGAGTTTTTGACAAGTTGTGCATTCTGAAACATCAACATGCCCAGCAAACAGCATCAGCACTCATGAAACAACAGCATCAGTACGCACGAAACAACAGCATCAGCATGCTCAGAAAACAGCATCAGTACGCACGAAACAACAGCATCAGCATGCTCAGAAAACAGCATCAGCACGCACGAAACAACAGCATCAGCATGCTCAGAAAACAGCATCAGCACGCACGAAACAACAGCATCAGCATGCTCAGAAAACAGCATCAACATGTTGAGTTTCAGCGCGTGAATGACTTGCTGTGATGAACCCCCTAATTCAAACTCATCAAAATTTCCAATATCAAACCACTAGGTATTTTATATAAATCTTCCTGTTTATGTATTGTTGGATTGTCTCCCCATTTTTCCTTGTTTCCATTTGGCAGTCTCTGCGCAGTTTCAATATGTTTATTATTTCTGATGTTGCCACAATCCTTTTTACATAAATCTCTAGGTTTCCAAGTTGTAATGTTATTCCAGAGCCTAGTGCGTTTTCTGTAAGGCATTCCATATTTACAGTAATCTACATCTTTAAAATCAAACTCATCCATAAACTCCTGATGTTTTAATAATCCAGTTTGTGGATTTTCGATTACAAAATATTTAGGATTGAAATATTTGATAATCTCAATAGTTTTTAAGACAATACTATTTGCATATTCGATATTCCTAATTCCCCTAGTTTTTGCTACACTGTATTCAGTGCATGGGGGACTACTCCAAATAAAATCAAAATGGTTTCTGTCAAACTGTTTGTAATCCCACTCCAAAATATCAGTGTTGATATCAGCATTTTTCAAGTCTAATGATATTACATTAAATCCAAGCGACTTTGCTATGGTTCCGACGCTTTTTGTTCCGCTAAATAATTCTAATAAATTCATATTATTAGAATTACTTAGATATTAATTATTCAAATAATACATATACTCCATCATCATTTTTTGAAATTTTGTAAAATTCTAAAGTGGTGCTTTTAGGTTGTTTGATTTTTCCTGTATTCAACATATCACAGTATTTCTTTTGTTTTGTAGGATAATCGCCCGATGGTCTTCGTATAGATTTTGCTTGAAATATGTTTTTCGATTTTTTTCCTTCTCCTGCTGTTCGCTTTCAACTGGTTTCATTTTGTCATCAATGGATTTAATCATATCATTTAAGTTTTTGATATTTTTACTAATTAATGTTATCTTCTTCATTAAATCATTAATAGTATAATTTTCATTTTCAGACATTACTATATATTTATTTAGATATTTATTTATTTAATTATATATTTGTCATCATTTGTTTAACAGTTTCCTGTGTTTCGTTTTCATTATTATCGGATGGTGTTGCTTGCCTACCAAATTTAAAAGTTATATTATGGACATCAGTTTCTAAGTTGATACTGTCTTTAGTTTTATCAATATTCATTTTCTTATCATTTTTACTTACTTTAAAACCAACTGGCACA